TTGTATTGTTTGATATTGAAAATCGATTGTCTATTCTGAGTGTCCAATTTCTTTCAACCCGGTTCCAATTACACTTTTCTAGAGTTCCATTTGCAAATTCATATTCAGTTATTCTTTGTTAAATATTGAGTGGAGCGTCAATTTCTGGTTTAAATTCAAAATTTTAACAATATAATTAAATGTGTTATGAACAAATTGACATATATGAATTAATTTTGTTGCATCATTAAAGTTTCATAAATAAACACCAAAAATCGTTTTTTAGTAAGGAAATATGTGTAATGTATAAATTTTCATAAAGTATATAATGTTAAAACTAAAATGTGAAATTCAGTACCCTAACATTACAGTTTATATTTAATTGTTAAAGAAAAGAATGAAATAGAATAAAAGGTGTTTTGTTGAATGTCAGAATAATCATTATTTCTCTGTGTTGCCCTCGGGAACTTTAATCATCATCCATGTATTCCAGGATTTGAGTATCCCATATTATTTTTTGTATATTTATGTTTTCTGTGTACAATTCATTTGAAGATAAATGATACTCAGAAATACATAACCACGCCATTGATCGATAACATAGTTATAATTAATTAATTTTAATGATTGTATTATATGTATTTTTAATATAATTTTCAATATCAGATAAAGAAATTATTTTTCAAAAGTGAAGGAAAGACAATGAAAAATGCTTTTTCAGATATACTTATAAATTCCCTACGAGTAATTGGTGAAATAAAGTTATTAGATTATTCTCTCATGATGGCTAGTACGTTGATGACTGCACCGATGTTGAAAGTCATAAACTCCCTGTGGATTGAAATCATATTGTGAAAATTTGAAATCATATCATTATCTGACCAGGAAGAGTCGTTACCATAGTGTTGCCTTCTAAGATTCCCGAGAGAAATATTTAAATGTCTACGAAAAATAATAATTGTCCTACCAAGCTGTTCTTGGTGATAACAAATAGAAATTTCTGGTACACACTATACAGAACTGTACCAGCGAGAAACATACTATTCATAAACGATATTTTGTTTTTAACAATCAATTTATCGATCATATTCCTTAAAATTTCAACGTTGTACAGAATCAACTTAAAGTTTCTAATCAGTCAAAAACTCTACGTCGACAATATTCAAAGTATTTAAAAAACATGAATCAGTATTAGAGCCTAAATCGTGAAATTGACAAGTTTTGAGAAAATACTGTGAAGTAAACTGATCACAGAAATCTGCACTGAATGTGTGTGATATCAAACGATATCTGGGGAAGTTTCTGTAGAGTTATCAATAATGGGCAGTCAGCATTCGATACTTAATAATTCTACAAATAAATCGCCATTTATTGATTTTAGTTCTAGCATATGAAAGTCTGATTGATAATCACAACTTTTGATAATGGCGAGTCGATCTTAAACTTACCGAAATCAAAGTCTTAATAAGCAATTGAGAAGTCATGCACATTAAGCAGCTCCCAAACTTGAAATTATTTCAGACTGGCGAATATAATAGCTTTTGAATAGAGAAAAAAAATAAAAAAAGAAATGATTTTTGAAATATTAACTTAAAATTAAGTTAAATGAATATACATGAGGAAAGAGATTCTAAAGAGATATTTCTTTTTAGAAAAACAATAGTTCTATTGTTTTCAAAAAAAAAAATGTCTGAATAAAACATTTAAAGAATTTTGAAATGCATGATGTATTCATTTGTATAAATCAACTTTTTATATTGTTCTACTTCCTCGACCAAGATGTTGTAAAATAATGGTATATTTTTATCGTGTTTCCCTACGAATATTGTAAACGTATTAAATAATGTTGAAAATCGTAGTTATGTATTGATGCATTGTGAGGCAAAAGCAGACCATGAGATATGTATCGTATTTATGGACGTTTTTGTGGTAACGTCTTAAACGTCACAAAGTAGATAAGACATGTTTTTATGTCTTTCTAAAAAAAAAAGTGAATCTAAATCATTTTCAGAGCTTCCTATGATCATCGCTGACTACACCTGATTTATATTCATGTTATTCAACCTATTTTTGCATTTAATCATAGACTGGAGGGAGATCGCTTTTCAAGTCGATACTTAAATCTAAAATAAGAATTTTATTGAAAGGTTACTGGAAGGTTACATCTTTTGGTAGGTGCCTATTTATTGAAAAATTAAAGATTTGTCAATTAGAAGCAATTTGAGCTGTCATTTTGGATATTAATAAAATTTGATGCCTTTTTTAAATACATATGATGAACATTTATTTTTTCTGGGAATATTGATTTAAAATGTCCATCATTTTTGTATTTTTTTTTTTTTATATTTCTTATATTTATTGACGGAATATTTATATATGATTAGAGGGATGTTGATGACATAAGATGAAATCTTTCTTAATAATTATTAAGTAAAACATGAACGAAAATGAGCCTATATGTACACCAATTAATGATGTCTACATGTACACCAATTAATGATGTCTACATGTACCCTAATTAATGATGTCTACATGTACACTGATTAATGATGCCGACGTGTCCATTTAAAAAATTCCTTGTCTCTGTGTTATTTTATGTAGGACCTTAGACTTCTGTTGAGAATGCAAGTCACAGTATAGAATCTATATTATATAAAACTGCTAGTATATAAAGATTACAAAATGTATTTAAAAAAAAAAAAAAAAACATGAACACATCTAAGAGACTGATTATAGAATTAAGACACCATATAAACTTTCTCATGGCCCTACAAATTGTTTTAAGATATTGACGGATACATACATGTATGTTGCAGTCTATAACAGTCTATAACAAATTGAAAAAAAACGTGTCAATCACCGAAATGATTCTCGTGTTAATGAACGTAAGTGTAATGCTTTGTGGTATATTATAGGAAGTCAATTCAATTTACAAAAAAAATCAATTATAAAAAAAAATATAGACGAAGTTCTTATGACACCATGGCTGATTTATTCAGTTTTTCTAAATATAAGCAGCCATAATGTAGCAAAAAATATCAGAGTCAGTTTTAAATGTTCAAGATAACTGTTTGTTATTAACCTGTTCGCATAAAAATGTAAAGCCATTTAAAGATGTAAAATCATACATGATCAGTTAAAACATCAATTTTTAAGAATACTTTTAGACACGAATAAAATAGATAATACACGTATAATAAAAAAAAAATGCATGCAGTTTTTCTGATTTCTCTACCAATTCAACAATTATTAATAGATTAAATGATAAACTAAAAAATATCCCACCTTACCTATTTATCATTTTGCAAGAGAGACCCCCAACGACCATATCGTATTCGCAAACACTGCATTACAAAGCTTGCTGCATTTAATAACTTCCTCGATGCAATAAGTTAATTTTTTTATTTTCCTCTTGTCTTTAGATCATCTACATACACAGAAGAATAAATATATAAATGCCTTTAAGTTCCAGAACGTTTCATTTGCTTCAAAGATCAATTCATCCATAATCCAAATGTGAACTTTTTGAACGCACCTTTCTTACATCGTAAATGAAAATAGCGCATATTCAAAATGAATTAAGATTTATTTTTTAAATGTAACAATTGCAACAATCGGACAACCTAATTATTATATGTTTAAAAATATTATGAATATTTTAATATTGGGTATTTTAGGTTTTGTTTTTATTTCTTAAAATGTGGTTTTTTTTTTGTTATTTTTTTTTTAAATTTTTTAAAAATTTGTTTATTTTATTGCAAAACATGTTTATCATACCTTAAATTTTATCTTATTAGGTTCAATCTGTCAAAATTTGCTGACATGCGGATATTGAATCGTTAAAATGACGTCACAATAACAACATTGATCAGACAGTGCTAGTACCTGGGAAACATTTCTAAAATCTCAGGTTCCTCGTCTGCTCCGCCGACTACCTGTCCAAACCGACGATTGTCAATCATTCACTCATTGTCAATCGTCAATTGTTGTTGTAAATATTTAAAAATGCAAATCGAAGTCTATTTTCACACATCTTACTTAATTAAATTCCACACTTCATTAAGTGTAACCAGATATATATAAAGAGCTGAGAATTTTAAGAAAGATAATGCATAAAAGACTTGTTAAATGAACATTAAAAAATTTACTTGCTGTGAGTTATAAGAGGAAAAAGTCATGAAGGTAAGTGTTCCTTTTCACAAATTCTTTGTCGGGAAATTCATTATCAACCCTTTGAATGAACTAAAATTGAACATTATCGTTATCTAATTGACATCCTCAAAACAAAAAGTAGCTAATTTTATCATTCATAAACTCTTGCTTAATATAATGCTCGACGCAAATACAAACTGTTCTAAGTAATTCAAATAATTTTAGAAGAAAGAAGATAAATGATTTATCTGTGATATAAGATATCATTTTTATAAAATTGAGATACATGATTCACTTTAACACGGAGTGGATTAGATTAGACTGCATACATTTATGTTTACAATATTTGCCTTTTTCACTTAGAAATTTTCAGGATTTTTCTGTTTTTTTGTTTTTAGGAAACAGTGTCCTTTGTGATATTACTGACAAGAGTTTGTTTTGTCATCGCAAGAACGCAAGAACCTGCTAAAATATCTACAAATTCCGCCGCAGAACAATCAAACGATTTAAACAATACAGCGACTGAATTTGAAACTACAAAATTAAGTACTTTTAATGTATTTGAAATTCAAAATGAATCTGTGAAAAATGAAAGTGATAAAAACACAATCAGTTTCTCAAATCAATCAGAAAATATATCAGCTTATAGGAAAGAAGAAAGAGAGAGATTACCTTCAGCTCAAGAAGTTGCCAAGAAGAATCTTTACACGATTATAAAGATTCGATTACTTGGAAATCTTCTTCAGCGTCTCCCTGTAGAAAAAAGACAATTAATTTTCATGAATGCCATGAAACAAGTAAGGAAAGACACCAAAGAAACTGAACACCAACACAAAAGAGCAAAAGCTTTCTCTATAAATCACCGAAGCATGGATAACAGCAAGGAAAGTGGCTCTGAAAGTCAGGAGATTTCAGAGGTAAAAGTTGACAACAGCAGAGAAGATTTGTCTAGCGAGGAAAACACACCTCAGTACGATAAGCAAACAGAACAAGAGCTACACATCTTAAAAAACCAAGTGAGTGATGATGTTAAACAGTTGTTAGATACAGTTTTTCCTGGTGTCGATTCCAAAGCCCCTGAGAAGGTAGTCTACATGGAAAAGAAGCATATGCAAAATCCTGTGATACCTACAAACCCACAACTTTCAAAACAGAACAACAACTTTTTGTCAACCATTGATAATTTAAGCCATGGTTCAAGTATTTCCGGTTTCGCATCGACAGAACTTGATTCAAATTATGCAACGCCAACTGTGCAAGAAAATTTCAATGCAGAGAAGAGCCAATCACAACCTATGTTTCTTAACTATAATAATTTTCTGTCTCATTTGCCAAATTTAGAGAAATATCCGGACCAGAAAGACGAGATAAGTGATGAACATTTCAAAGAATCAAAACAAATTTATTATACACAATCATCAACGACGCCGTATTCAATATTTCAACAACCTTATTTTCATGGCGAACCATTGCAAGAAACACTGAATCTGAAACCAGTAATATACAATGCTCTTAGTGAGGAATTACCGGCACCTGTCACATTTTTAAGCAAAAAAGGACAAGATAAGGATATTACACAAAATCATCATACTAAAAATAATGAAAGTTCGATTTATACAACTGAAGACAAAAGAGACAATATATCACCTCTCAAAAAAGATAATCTTTTAGAAAGTGATGCTTCAAAGAGTAGCGAGGAAGACTTTTCTTATGATTACAAATTCGATGCGAAATCAGATTTATCCCATTTAAATTCCTATCCGTCTAATGACGTACAAGATTACTATGAAAATAACCTTTTAAATTCAGATCAATCAAACGCTGAAGAGGCCGTGAAAATCATATATGATCTCTTCAATGATTACGATGATCATCTTAGGGATTACGAAAATGAGCAACTTAACTTCGAAGTTGAACTTTATCCAACTTCTACCTTGATTCCCATAAGCACTACACAGAATAATGAATTAAAAATTAGCAAAGCAACAAATTCAGATAATACGTTTACTGCAGGAAAGGAAACATTTAAGATTTTTCCGTCAATAGAAGTAAAAATAAGCAGTGATGAAAGTGAAATCAGTGAAAGCAGAGAAGATATGGACACGTATCATAAGTATAATCATGAAAAAGGCAGGAAAAAGCCTTCTACTGACAGAGATAAATACAATTCTCAGAATTCCCTGTATGATATTCCACATGTTTCATCCATGGATCTCAGTCGAGAGGAAGAGGTACAAAATGTAGATGTGAAAAAGTTAGATGAAAATTCCAGTGAAGAAAGAACCAAATCATATGGAAGTCATACTGATGAACATCTGGAAAGAGAGAATGGACGCTCTAACGAAAAATCTACAAGTCATGAGGAAAATAGTATTCATCAATTTAGTATAAATGACAATAATAATGTTCCAGATGAAAAGAAACCTAGGGGCATTTTTAATGCTCCAGTGGAAAGCAACATGTCATATAATGAAGGAGGCGAATTAACATATCAGCATGACGTTAGTGGTGAAAATTACTTTATTACAGATGGAATAAATCCAACTGAAAACGGAGGCAATGATTCAGTAGATACACAAGAAAGTGATAAATCTCATAAAAGTTTTGACAATTCACGAAGTGAATCTGCGGAAGATGTGAGCAGTACTGAAAAATCTGAAAACATTAACCCATACAATAGTTTACAAAATATATTTTTCGACAGAGATTCTGGTAGTATCCTTCAAGGTAAAAGTAGCAAATCAAGTGAATCTCGCGTTGATGAAGCATCCAAAGAAAGCAAACATAGTAAAAGTAAAGATGAACTTGGTGAACATTATCTAAAAAATGACAACAACATAGATGGTGGAGAAATTCAGTCAGACAGTAGCGATTCCAGCGAAGAAAGCATTACAAACCAGCATTTCATTGGTAGTCATTATGAAGACATTCAACATCAGAAGGACAGTACTGTTATTCATAAAGAAGGAAAAAACCAGAGTGGAGAAATTGGTGAGAATTACCAGATCATCGATAGCGATTCAAATGAAAGTGGAGAAAAAATGAAAGACAATGGCGATTCAAGCGAAGAGAGCATGGCAATCTCGCAAAATATTTACACTAACTCAAAAGACTCCGGAGATATTCAACATAAGAGCGAGAGTATTTCAAAAGAGAAAAGTTACCAGAATTACGACCTCGGGGGAAACTATGAAAGAAATGATAATAATTTCAGTGGAAGTGAAGAAACTGATGAAGACAATAACAAGTCCACCGAAGAGAGCATTGTAAACCAACATTATATTGGTAGCGACTCAAACGAATTTGAACTGCAGGACCACAGTTCTAGTGTTTCCAATGAGGAAAGTAACGATAATGATGAATTTGGTGAAATTCATGAGAAAGATGATGGCAATTTGAATGAAAGGGAAGAAACTAAGGAGAAAAGCAGCGGAGAAAGCATTTCAAATCAAATTTATTCTGATAGCGAGTCAAAAGACTCTAGTCACATTCAACATCAGAAAGATAATATTGCATTTGAAGAAGATAGTGAATCGACTGAAAATAAGTTTATAAAAGGTTTTACAAAAGTGAAAGGCGATATGTCTTCAGGGGATAAAAGTATCTCAAAAGAGAATGATGAAGGCTCTTCAAGCAACGAAAGTAAAAATGGTGACAGTTCAGAGGATAGCTCAACCTCTTGTGAAGGAGAATATTGTAACTCATATGGATCTTCAAGTGTTAAAATTGATTTTACAGAGAGAGAAAGGCTAAAGAACGGATTTCAAGATGAACCAAACAATAATAGTGAAGAAGAGGCAGTCGATCAAGATGATTCAAAAAGTAATGAAGAAACATCGGGACAAAACAAACACGAACACTTGTTAGACTATAAAAGTTCAGAAGAATACACAAGTTCAATAACAAAAAGTGTGTCGGAGGAGATTTTGAATTTTAAGTCATCGGAAGAACAAAATTATAAAAAGAATGAAGGTGAAAAGGCAGGGGGCAAAGAACAGTCTTCTGAGAACAAAAGCTTGTCTTCAACCTCTGACACAACATCTAGTGGCAGCAGTGAAAGTTTCGAGAATGATAACAAGAAAAGAGATGGTCTTCAAAACAACATAGAAGATAGTGACTCTGATGAATACTTCCAAAATCATGATAGATGGAATGGACAAAATAGTCATCAAATTTCCGATGATGACGATGAACAGGTAAATGAAAATTATGAAGACGAAAATGAAATGTCAAAACCGAAGGAAAACAAAGATCAAAGTACTGAAAATACGGAATATTCACCAAATATTAGTAAAAGCTTTGAATTAGTAAGTAGTGATGGAGAAAGTCATGAAAAGGAAGTGAAATACAAAAGTTCTGAGGATGAATCAAGCAGTGAGGGAAGTCATGAACAAGTAAGAAAAAATAACCTAGAAATGGAAGAGGATGGTAGTGATGGTAAAATTGATGAGCAATCAAAACAAAATACAGAAGAGACTACAGATGATAGCTATGAAAATAAGGAAGATTTTGAAAACCAGCACAACATAATTGAAAGTAAGGAAGGTAGTACTGAAGAACCAGAAGATGAGTTTTCAAAGAAACCCTATAACAGTAAAACCATTGATGAAGAATCAAAGGAAGAGAATAACGAAGAAGGGAAGAAAAAGGAAAGCGGCAGTGATGAAGAATCAAAAGATAAAATCATGATTCATGAAAAGGAAAGTTATAGCTATGAAAACAGTGAAGAGGAACCAAAAGAAGAATATGAAAAGGTTACAGATAATATTGTTCATAAGAATTCCAAAGAGCTTTCTTCGGAGGTTTTAATGACAGACTCTGGTGAGGATAATAAAAATGACGAAGATACACATAAGGAGGACAACAAAATTATCTACGAGAACGAAGCCAAAGACCAAACAGACAAAAACACAAACAACAAATCAGACTGTAAGGATAAGAGAAAAGAGGAAGATAACAGTAATAAAGACGACATCAGTAATGAAAAAAGTGGTGAAATAAGAAATGATGATGATCTTGAGAATGCTGTAGGGATGATCAGTGAAATGTTTCTATTCGACGTCGACAAGTCAAAGAGTGGTGAACATAACGATTACAACTCAATAATGAAGCACAACACTCCAATGAAATATAGCAAAGATGGAAGAGTGAGTTGTCTTCTTAAAATACTCTTTAATTTACAGCAGCAGTGGTTAAAGACAAAGTATGGTTCCAAAGACAGAAAGTATCATTCTAAATATATGCATCATCGTAAAGATTCTTCAGATCTCCGTATGAAGTTACCAACTTTAAAGAAAAATTTGTATGAAAAACCAAGAAAAAGGGGGTCGTTGTATGGTCAAGGGCCGTTCTTAAGTTACAAACTCTACGAACCTTATGGGTCAATACGCTTCATCCACAGGCCCTCTCATCTCTTTCCTTCATCATATAACAAAATACGTAGTTTTCACTATGACAGTCTTCATCCTAAGCGCTATGTATCGTCATTGTCGAAATACTTACAAGGCCGAAGAAAGTATTTGTATGACAGCCACTCATCCAACTTACGACCCAAATATGTAAGAAACGGATATGGCACCAGAAGAATGCAAATAAGTTTTGGAAATAAGAGAAATTATTTTGGCAAAGTTAATAACGATGAATCCCGAATTAGAAAAGATTTATCAAGATTATCCCATTTCTTGACAAAAAGCCAGAGAGATGGTACTAATGGATCCATTAAAGTGAATCAAGGCAGGGTTCATAATAGAAACAATAAAAATGACTATGATCCATACCACAATGAAGTCGTTGACTATGTGAAAAATATAGATGATGACACGGTGGTTGTTCATCCACTTGTCACTAGGAGTAGCTACTAGAGGTGAAGATGTTTTATCATCCACTCTCAGTTCAGTATTGACTTTTCAATCATAGTTTTGTGTGTGTGTTTTGTTACAAAGTCCCATGTTTTGTAAGAATTCCATATCCTACCATTGTGTACACACTGTCTGAAATTTAACAATGTGGATAATTTGTAAATGTCTTTCATGTTGATATTTATTGTAAAAAGAGTTTATTTATTTAATTTTTTTTATTAATATAAATGTGGCTGCGCCACTTTATTTATAATAAATACGTTCGAAAGTTTCAATTTGTCTCTAGATTTTTTATATTTCAGTACTGAAGGTAAATGGTCGATATTTAAAAAAAAAACAAGGAACACCGAATTTCTCAAGCTTCAATAATATTGGAGGATTTTATCGCTAATGTTTACACTTCTCTGTCCAAGTGAATCTTAACTTCTTTGCACAATTTAAAATAAATAATATGGACACTTTGATATAATTTGGCAGCAATCTTGGTGTACTTGAAGAACTAAAATTTTATTGATGCCTCAAATGTTATTTTAGCAGTTAAATGATACACTGGGTTCCTGTGAACGAAGAATTTTTTTTATCATCATTCTGTGTTTTGACTTGCTTAATATGCCATTAGATATGGCTAGGTACCTCATTTGGTACAAACTTCTACATTTTCCGACACGCTTTATGCCCTCGTAATCGAAGAAATTTTGCTCTATCCGTCTGTCTGTTTGCCCGCAAAAACTTTAATCTTGTCCATAACTTTTGATTGGTTGGAGCTATTGCTTTCATTTTAGACATATGTATTCCTTGTAAAGTTCCTTTTTTTGAATACCAACTTATTTGATTTCTTGACCTTAGAATTTGACCCAATTTGCAAAATTTTACCAAACATTATAACCTTGGCCATAACTTTTCAATGATTGGTGCTCAGGTTTTCATTCTTCATATATTTACTTCTTGTGATTAGAGCTACCCTTAGGTACCAACAATTTTGACCCTTAGACCTTGACCTTTGAGTTCGACTTACTTTTGAAAAAAAATTAACCTTGCCCATAACTTTGGAAGGCTAGGGCTTTCATATTTCACAGGTTCATTCATTGTGTGATGACCTTCCCTTGGGTGCCATTTATTTTGACCTTTTATTCTTTGAGCTTCACCTACTTTTGAAAAACCTTAACCTTGGCCATAACTTTAGAATAGCTAGGGCTAGGGCTTTCATATTTCGCAGGTGTATTTCTTGTGACAAGACTTTCCCTTAGACTCCATTTATTTTTACCCTTTGACCTTGGTCTTGGAAAATTTAGAATCCCCTTTGCCCAAGAATGCTTTGTACAAACTTTCAAACTGGCCCAGTGATTCTAGAGAAGAGTCAAACAAGTGAAAAGTTTATGGACCGCCGGAAATCGAAAAATGGGTAAACATAAAAGCTCACGAGAGCTTCCAGCTCAGTTGAACTAAAATTGGAGAGAACACCATAAAATATTAACTCCCCACCCTCTTCACAAATGCAAATGTAATGCTTCTTAGGTCAGTGGTTTTAATCAAATATAAGCGTATTACGCAGATGGTGAAGTGGTTGCGAGGGTCGTTAAATGAAATATGTGGAAATAACGAACAGGATCTATTGAATATGTAATGCGAAAGGTCATCAAAAAAATAAGAAAAACAAGAAAAGCAGCTTAATTATTTATATTTATTATTATTTATCAATGTATTCCCTGTCAACCTTTACAAATGTATGAAGTCTCTGAACCCGTGACCAGAATACCTCAGCATATTTTTCTTCAGTACGTGGTTCTCAAAAGGCACTGATAGATAACACTCCCCAGGACTTATCCAAAACTGTAGCGTCTTTCTTTGCTTGTTATTCTAGAGTTTTTGGAATAAAAATACATATTTATGTGGCAATGACTGAGATTCAGCGAATAGAGTGAATTGCTATAAGCTCTGTAAACGTTCCGTTCTTCAAAATTCTCTTTACATTTCTAAGCTTATTCGCAGCAGTTTTGTTAGGTACAATGAAATATGGAGATAACGAACAGCACGTCTCTTCGAACAATACAAATCAGGAGCAGAGCAAACACGGACCTCTAAAAATATCGGAGGTAGGATCAGGTGCATGGAGGTATGGACATCCTCTGCTGACCGGTCACACCCGCTTCTTGTCGTGATCAGGAAAACGGAAAAATCCCTAGGCAAGTCAGTGTGTGAATAATGACCTAACAAGTAGTATGAAAAACGTCAGTCAGCATTTGACTTAATGATAGATTATATTTGCCGACAATGTCATTATATCGATCATTGAACTTGCGAAATGATTAAACGAGACTTATATTTTTGTGTCAACTTGTTTGTCAATAGCTTGCCTCGATTTAGAAATTGTTGCGTATCAAGTCAACTGAGACACATAAACCCCATATGCAGGTAATAAGGGTATATTGCTACTTAAGTAAGGGAAGTTGACGATTGAAAAGTTGGAAGTCATCACGTTTATCATAAGGCTTAATTGGTTGCTGGGTTACCATTAAAGCAGTTTGATTTAATTTATTAAACCTTAAGATAAAGTTAAATTTGTGTTGCACTTCAAGATTCCCTATCATTAAAATTCAACAAGTTTGCACTTAACTAGTATGTTCCATTATGTTATAGCCTTTACGGTAGCTCAGTCGGTAGAGCGCTTGATCCGTGATCGGAAGGTCGTGTGTTCGAATCACGGCCGTGACTAACCTAAGTCGATAAAAAAAATAGGTAGCAACTGTTCCTTCGCCAAACGCAAGGCACTTTGAAATGAAAGTTGCGGGTCTTTCGGATGAGACTTTAAAAACCGAGGCTCTGTGTCACAGTAGGCGTTGGCATGATAAAGAACCCTCACTGCTCAATGGCCTCGACTGTCAAGTAAAGGTCTAAATTTGAAGCCCTTTACCGGTTATATGGTGACGTCTCTATATGAGTGAAAAATTCTCGAACGGGACGTTAAACAACATACAATCGATCCACTATGTCATAACTGTCTACTTATTATGTAAAATTATACTTTTATATTGTAACTGGTAAGATAAGTAGGCTTAAATATTACAATTCTTTGCGAAAGTAATTTCATTGTAGAGTAACATTTTCCCATGTGCACGAGTTTTGTGAAGTCTGTCCTGCTGTGGCTTGACTGGACATTTGGACATGTACATGTAATGTAAATCACCAGATTTTCACGGGACTTTATTTTCGCGAGATATGTACATAAGTAACACACAATTATAACGAATTTATTTAAGCTGTACTTATAAACTTGTTCACGAGAATCACATTGTCTCCGTAATAACGGCAAAATAAAGTTCTTGCGAACAAAAAGTTTTTTTCAGTATTCAAACTTCATTCCTACCACAGGCACTTGTTTCGGTAATAAATTTTTAACCCATAGTATAATAATAACACACAGGCACTTGTTTCGGTAATAAATTTTTAACCCATAGTATAATAATAACACAAGGTATCTAACTCCGAATGACACTGAGTACCCCCCTCCCCCAGAATCGCACTCATTTACACTTTCAGAGGAAATGCACTGACAAACTGTTTATACCTATGTTTTCTACGATAATTTATCTACACAACCATATATGGCATGCTTGTCTTTATTTTCTTAAGTCTCCGTAAACAGCGTCAAAACTCTGCTCCTCGAGTGGAAAAGTCGAATTCAACCATGAAATTGTATGTGCTGATCCCGCACAGAGATTTTGATTGGCTAAAAATCTGTTTCTAAAATTACATCGGATAAACATCGTAATTTTTTCAGGGAAAATCAGACGTAAACAAGTTCTATTTACTCATGCAATATTTAAACACTGGAATTGAATTTTTTAAAGCCACTCATTTTTTAATTTTGTTCTCTGTGCGGGATTAGCACATACCATTTCATGGTTGAATTCGACTTTTCCACACGGCGAGCAGAGTTTTGACGCTGTTTACGGAGACTAAAGAAAATAAAGACAAGCATGCCATATACGGTTGTGTAGATAAATTATCGTAGAAAACATAGGTATAAACAGTCTGTCAGTGCATTTCCTCTGAAAGTGTAAATGAGTGCGATTCTGGGGGAGGGGGGTACTCCGTATCATTCTGAGTTAGATACCTTGTGTTATTATTATACTATGGGTTAAAAATTTATTACCGAAACAAGTGCCTGTGATTCCTACCCACGATTTCTGCAGATTAAACCACAAATTATCCACATCTTCTTCCTTTCCTTTTTTTTGTTCTGTGTCAAATTCAAAGACTACTTTCAATGAAACTTAAGAAAATGGTGGACCTTTGACCAACAAAGAATAGGTAGATTATGAAATTAAGACTTTTTCTATTGGAAATAGAAACTTGTGTTGCATGGAGACTAATATTTAACTTATTGTAAATATAGCGCAACCGACAAAGAAAAAATCTCTTGCAGAAAACCTGTTTACAGAGGAAGGCACTCCATATACATGCAAGCACCCCTGTTTGTCCAGTGTTATATTGACATGCTTCAAAATATGAATGCGTCATTAATATAAAATGACTTTTCTGGAATTGAGACACTAATTTGCTTTCCATTTCTTAACTATTATTATACCTCGTTATAATTATTCTATACAATGCGTTATCTGATTGGTTCTAGATAATCACGTGACACTGCCATAAAACTTCATATTTCCCTTTCGTCGTCATGCTTTTCATCATATTCAATCTCTTCGGAGACCTATAGTGCATTTTCCCGCAATAGTTATCGTTTGTTGAACAAAAACTCCCAAGAGTAGTAGACGTCACAATAGTCTGGTTGACGTCACAAAATTGCTGATGGATTTCAGTAACACTACGTTTAAACTGACAGTGAATTTAAAAGTGGTGCTGAATTTGAAAGTTTGTGTTTATTTTTGAATTTTTTGCTTGTTCCGGTATAATAAACAATTTATTGCATAATCGTGAGGGAAATATGAAGATTTATTCAGCCAAGAAATATCATATTCCCCTTGGGCGAAGCCTTCGGGGAATATGATTTTTCTTGGCTGAATAAATTTTCATATTTCCCTCACGATCATGCAATAAATGTATAATATCACTATTTTTCCTAAAGGCTAAAATGCTGATCCAAGTAACAATACCTTCTCTCTGCAAAATGAGTATGTAGCAAACCCTTTTATTGGCATAAAAAGAAGTGAAAAATGAATACCCGGTAGAAAAATGACTGCATACACTTACTGAAATACACAACAATTCTACCTACATTACACTACTTGAAAATTTTTGGTCACAGGTTATGTTCTCTTTAAAATTTTTAAAAACAACTTCTACTTTATGCCATTTGGGATTTTTTTTTCATGAAATGGGAACTCTGACATTACAATACTTGACACAATTTATTGATAACATAACAGATTATTCTTTTCAATCAATCTGTGGAACAGTTTATTTTTTCACAGGTATAATCCCTCAGGTGTTCCTTCATTCTTCCTGTATAACACATTTTCTTTAGCTGATTTAAAATCGTCATTTGTGACCTTCATTCTTCGCTCTCTAAGAGCCAGAAGTCCTGCCTCTGTGCATATGGCCTACAATAAGAACATTTTGCAGGAATCAAATGATAGAGTGAACAAAATAGCAAACAAGTCACTCACACAAACTTTCCTGTCCTGCTGCCCACAGTAAATATTTTCATGTGATTTTTTGCTTATCATCATTATTTCATAAATAATCAAAGGGAATACCAAATATCTTTTGATGAACTTTGAGCACAAGCAAAGGTACATGGAATTAATACCTTGATATCTGCACCTGAGAGATCATCTTTTGCCATGACATAATCATCGATGTTGACATCTTCTGCTAAAGTCATTCTGTTTGTATGGATGGTAAAGATTCTTCTTTTGGTCTTCTCATCAGGAAGTGGGAATTCTATCTTGCGGTCAATTCTTCCTGGACGGATCAGAGCAGGGTCAAGAGTTTCAATTCTATTGGTTGCCATGACCACCTAAAATTTGCAATATAATATATACCCTTCAGTAAAATTAAAAACATCAACTGCAATGCCATTATGGGTGATTTATATTCTATAATATTCAGATCTCCGTAAGAAGTGACAACGCACCTTTACATCTCCTCTGGAATCAAATCCATCAAGCTGATTCAGAAGTTCCAACATAGTTCTCTGTATTTCTCTTTCACCTCCAGAATTTGAGTCATATCTACAAATTAATCATCACTCAACTCAGTTTCCAGTCCCCATTAATCATATACACATGTACATAGGCTTCAAACAAGTACCTTCAGATCAAAATTACAAGGAACTAGAGGAGTTACCCCCCCCCCTTTTCGAAAAACATCAATGTTTTAATTACGTATCTTGTGATAAAACATACTAAAAATGTTACTTTGATGATATCCTTCCCTCATCTCAAGCAAATTTGTATCTTTATAAATAAAATCTAAAATTTACATCCAATCAAATTTTAAATTGTATCTCTCACGATTCCCTATGGAATCACTGAGATTATCATTACCGGGGATTTTGAATTGTCTTATCTGGTATGTGGAAAGAGCATGTCAAGATTTTGTGTCATTATTTTCCCATTAATGTAGAACCTGTCATATAACGTCATAGATAAGTTGTTCACTAGGTCTGAGCAAATACTAACGAAGCCACAATAATGTGAACTCAATACAACTGTATTGAAGGAATGCAAAATTGCCAAGAAATCTTCAGCTACCAATCAAATAGTGCAATATCTTAATTATCTGCCATCAGAGACTTAGATTAGTTTCAGATTGTGTTTGCAGTACTATCCATTATGAAATGATATGTATTTATTTTCTATCTCATATACTAAAATCATTTCCTAATTATTTATACATACAAGTATCTTTGATGGTTTGTATATTAAAATATTTTCCTATTAAAATCATGGATTTTTTACATAAAAATTCACATTATTTCATTAATGTTCATGTAGTAAATCTGAAAGTAACCCTATAATAGTCATATAATCATTGAATTTTGTGTTTCAAAAGTAAAAAGGTAAACAAGTGTAGTACATTTAATAATAATTTAAAAAACAAACTTTTTCTTTCATTAGTTTGCAAGGAAAGGTAAATATATTAATCACTTTTCATATTTATTTAGGTGTGTTCTTCATCATAATTAAGATAGACACTTTTGAAAAATATTTCAAATACATGTACAGGATCTAGATAGACTCAAAATCCTTTACCAATTTTAGTGCATTTGCCTATGTTGGTATGTGGGCTCAATCTTTTATGTCAATTATAAAAAAAAAAAAAAGAAGAATTTATTCTGGAGTAAAATTGCTGACTATTGTTTATTTCGTAAAGTCAGTTAATGATGATATTTGAAAAATTATATTTTGTTATTTTCTGTCTTGTTCTTGTGACCATGTACCAGTAAAGATGGCTGAAAGTGTCTATTTGCAGTGTATTTTTATCAATCCAAGTAGCACATTCTGCAGTATATTCATTATCTTAACAAGCTAGTGCTAATTGGTTGAAAATCCTATGACAAAGACTATTTGACATAGGTTCTACCATATATTATTCTTGTACATGTATGTGTAGTACTAATTTTTTTTAATTCAGTATTTAGCTATGATTTATTTTATACCTGATTCATTGATAAATAATGCTTCAATTTTATTTTTATAAATTTAAGCATCAAAGAGAAACCTTTGCATATAAATTTTTTGAAAAATGGTTCAAACAGAAAAAAAAACAAGTGACAATTATTTCACAAAGCCAGATGAAAGTTCTCATGTACTTAATGACACAAAATCTATGAATCTAGATTATAAATCTGCATAGCCTGACACTAAAGAAAGGTTTCGAGTAATTATGACGCACTTACAAATTTATCATAACTTTATGTGAATACGAAGAGATTATCTCTTGCAATTTTCTTTTTATAGATTTGTTGTATTCTGTAGCACCTATGACTGCTGATAAATTGATGATATTTATTCTCGAGATAAAACTTTTCACATCATAATATCACACAATTGTAAATATTTAAAAACAATGTACCGTTTTGTTCCAACAGCATCTATTTCATCAATAAAGACAATAGAAGGGGCATGTTCCTCTGCCACTCGGAACAATTCTCTGACTAATTTTGGACCATCACCCTAAATCAAGAAAGCACAAGAACAAAATTAGATGCAAACCATAATAATTGTAAATTACAGTCCTCCTCATGTTCAGCAGAGGGATGCTCACTGATAACAAGAGGCCCATGGGCCACAACGCTCACCTGAGTAACTTTGGCCTTGCTGTTTTTCACCTGATCCCCCCCACCCTTGTAGTACTTATTGTGGCCCCACCCTACCCTCGGGAGTCATGATTTAAACAATTAGAATCTACACTACCCCAGGATGCTTCCACATAAGTTTCAGCTTTTCTGGCCTACTGGTTCTTGAGAAGAAGATTTTTAAAGATTTTTTCTGCATATTTCAATGTAAAACTTGGATTCCCTATTGTGGCCCCGCCCTACCCCCGGGGGTTATGATTTGAACAATTTTGAATCTACACTACCCAGATTGCTTCCACATAAGTTTCAGCCTTTCTGGCCCAGTGGTTCTTGAGAAGAAGTTTTTAAAAAATTTTTACTACATATTTCAATGTAAAACTTGGAATCCCTATTGTGTGGCCCGCCCTACCCCGCGGGGGTCATGATTTGAACAATTTAGAATCTACATTACCCCAGGATGCTTCCACATAATTTCTGCTATTCTGGTCCAGTGGTTCTTGAGAAGATTTTTAAAAATTTTTAGTATATATTTCAATGTAAAACTTGGATTCCCTATTGTGACCCCGCCCTACCCCCCGGGGTCATGATTTGAACAATTTAGAATCTACACTACCCCAGGATGCTTCCACATAAGTTTCAGCCTTTCTGGCCCAGTGGTTCTTGAGAAGAAGATTTTTAAAGATTTTTACTACATATTTCAATGTAAAACTTGGATTCCCTATTGTGGTCCCGCCCTACCCCGCGGGGGTCATGATTTGAACAATTTAGAATCTACACTACCCCAGGATGCTTCCACATAATTTCTGCTATTCTGGTCCAGTGGTTCTTGAGAAGATTTTTAAAAATTTTTAGTATATATTTCAATGTAAAACTTGGATTCCCTATTGTGACCCCGCCCTACCCCCCGGGGTCATGATTTGAACAATTTAGAATCTACACTACCCCAGGATGCTTCCACATAAGTTTCAGCCTTTCTGGCCTACTGGTTCTTGAGAAGAAGATTTTTAAAGATTTTTACTACATATTTCAATGTAAAACTTGGATTCCCTATTGTGGCCCCGCCCTACCCCCGGGGGTCACGATTTGAACAATTTAGAATCTACACTACCCCAGGATGCTTCCACATAAGTTTCAGCCTTTCTGGCCTAGTGGTTCCTGAGAAGAAGATTTTTAAAGATTTTTACTACATATTTCAATGTAAAACTTGGATTCCCTATTGTGGCCCCGCCCTACCCCCGGGGGTCACGATTTGAACAATTTAGAATCTACACTACCCCAGGATGCTTCCACATAAGTTTCAGCTTTTCTGGCCCAGTGGTTCTTGAGAAGAAGATTTTTTAATGACCCCACCCAATTTTTGTATTTTCTTGATTATCTCCCCTTTGAAAAGGACTTGGCCCTTCATTTTAACAATTTAAACTCCCCTTCACCCAAGGATGCTTTGTACCAAGTTTGGTTAAAATTGGCCCAGTGGTTCTTGAGAAGAAGTTGAAAATGTGAAAAGTTTACAGACGGACAGACGACGGACAACGGGTGATCAGACAAGCTCAGGTGAGCTAAAAATTGTAGTACATAAAATATTGTTTGTATGCTATTTTCTTCTCTGGGTTGAAAACATTCTTGTGGAATCTTTCAAATGAAAATTAACTCACCAAATATTTCTGAATTAATTCTGACCCAACAACTCGTAAAAATGTCGCAGATGTCTGATTAGCCACTGCTTTGGCCAATAAAGTTTTTCCTAAAAAAGAAAGAAAAAAGGTAAATAAAGTTCTCAGGCCCACTCATTGCAATTTTTTTCTTATTGTCAATAAAATAAAGCGTTGGTAATGCTGAGACCAATCCAGGAAATTTTTTTTTGTAGTTTTGCACTTGATTTTCATTTCTGATAGCCACTTCGTATAAATGTGGACATTCACAGGATACTTTGTCCAGGAAAAATGATATAATTGGTAATTTTTTGAGATGTTAAATATATCTACAGAATGACTTCAGTATAATTATGAAGGAAGGATTTTCATTGTTAATTTCATAGAAAAATTCCAGACTAATAAATTGCTCCCACATATAATTTATTGTTGATAAAAAGAAGAAAAAAAAGCCTTCCGTCCTCACCTGTTTTTAAGAAAATTGGCCTGAGAACCATAATTTAAATTTTACTTAGCCTAATCATTCTTTGTATGAACATCTCATTTTTATAATAAAATCATTTTACACATAAGCATGGAAAAAGGTCTTATTTTAATCCTTGCATAAAAAGATAACTTTCTGTTATCAATTTACAGGTATGTCTGAGAAGAAAGTTTGATTTCCCTAATTTTAATCAAAAAGGCTTCATTCACATTCCAGCAGTCAACATTACTTTAAATAATATTTATATCTTGCCTGTTCCCGGGGGTCCATATAAAATGACTCCCTTTGGAGGTTTGATGCCCATTTCCTCATAATATTCTGGATGTGTGAGAGGCAGTTCCACTGATTCCTATACCAATTAAAACAAAAGAAATTAGTGTCATGAATTGAGTAATTTTCATTATGATTAATCAATAACAAAATCAATTTTTTAGAGCATTAGTGTTTTTCACAAACCTAATTTAATAAATTTTTCCTTGTTCCTTAAATAGTAAAGCATCAAGATTTACCTTTATTGTAAATTAATGTTTCAGTATGAAAATTCAATGGAATGAAGATTTGCATTACGGAAAGACCAATCAAAAGAGACTTATGAAAATATGAAAGCAATATTTACTGATAGCGAAGTAAAGGACATGACTGAAGCAAAACAAAAAAATTATAATATACAGGCATTTACAAATCATTTCAAGATTAATCTCTGAATTGACTGAACAAATAATTGATTTTTCAGGGCAGTTGATACAAAAATTAATCAGAACAACATTAAAATATCACATCAAGATTAATATACAGTCTACAGCAGTGTTCAACTGTTAGTGATATACATGTAGTTTACAACAAAAGACAATCATTTGTTTTTTTTTTTTTCTCAATAAGCATCATTTTAGAAATTGAAAAAAACACTAAATGGAAATTTGAAGATAAAGGAATTTTGTTTTGTTCCCACCTTGATTTCTTGAATCTGCTGGTCTAGTCCTCCAATATCTGCATAAGTCTCCTGGGGTGCTTTCTCCAGCTTCATTACTGTCACCATGGGATCTGTGTCATCTCCTAATACCCCCACCACTGCATGTACCTACAGAAATGTGGAGTTATAGATTTATAGATACATGTACAAATAAATGTATACACATTCTGACACGGTTAAATATTTCAGATAAAAAATTAGACAATAAGACTTACTTATTGCTTAACTAAAACCAAACATTGGATATTGTTAATGTGGAAGGGTTTGCATTGAATAAAAAAAAAACTTTGCAAAATAAGAAAACTGCAAAATGAACTGCAATAATAAGTCTTTTAAATCTTAAACACTTCTTTAAATTTCCATAAATATGTGTTCCAGCTGCTATACATAAAGTGAAAGAATACTCATAATGTAATTTTCAGCTTTTCAAATTTCTATACCAGGCAGATTTTCATGTGTCAACCTTAGACAGATATTCACTCTATTCAAATTTTCTGACACCAAACCAAACATCAGCATATCAAATGTTAATATTTTGTATAAATCAGTATTACAAGATATACCTTGTGGTTTAGGAGCACTGAACAGCCTGGTTCTAGTTGGTCTTTGTCTACAAATGACAGGATACTGACATAATGTTCACTTCCAACAGAAGTAGAGACAATGGCATGGTTATCATCTATGATTTCTTCGAGTGTACCCACAGACATTGGAGATCCTCGGAGTTCATCTACCTTTGTTCTCTCTTCCTGTTGAATAACATTAAAACTGTCTACTACTCAGGCCAACAATAAAAAAATGATTTGTTTGATGTACTCCGACCGACCCATTAAAATTGCCCCTACCCAATCATTTTTTTCAGTACTTCAAATTCTTTTTTTTACTTAAATAGATTATTTGTATTGATTTAAAAGTTAAGGTCTATCAATTTTCTAAGATACTTTTCAGATTAAAAGATTTTGTATACAGAAATAGATATTGTCAAAATGTTAGAAAATATTTTTAAAAAAACACAAACCTACCTACCTACCCAACTTCAAAAATGTGGGTCGGAGTACATGAACAAAAAAAAAAAATTATGATGGCCTCAGTAAAATTAGATCCATAAAGATTAGTTTACATCTTTCAAGACACTAACTTGACATCAATGACAAAGGAAAAATATGATTATATTGTCCAATAATTAATAGTTGTTACTTCTTGCTATTTTGTGTCACCTCATGTTTTTCTTCCTGCGGTTTGAGTCTTTCCTGGTTCCTTATGAACTCTTCCTCCATTAAAAGGTAATCTTTGATCCTTTCCAACTTCAGAAGTTTAAGTCTGCATCGTGTATGGGGTGTCACTGTGGATATAATAGTAATACACTGAGGGTCTCTTTAATGCATATATAAAAATTAATACTGTATGTTTGTTTCATAAAGAACAATTATCATTATGTGTCAAAATAGACAGCAATGCTACCTGAATTGAGGGCCTCTTTAATTAAGAGCTATTACGCCTTCATTCCAGATTTTCATTCGCATTGACCATAAAAAAGACTGCTTATGATATGTATTACATTTACATTCTATCTACAATTTTCTCTTTTAATAAATAAAAGGTTTTGTGTCCTTGATTTTGATGCTGATTTACATGTTGTAAATATATTTGTATTAACAAAATTAAATGTATATAGTGTGAAAAGAACGCTATATCCACAATGATCAAATCTTTCTCTAACATATTATTTTCATTCATTTCTAAATTCAAATATATTTATACAATTGACTAGTGCATAGATAGGCATTATTTCAAACGAATTTCTTTCAGTGTTATGCTATATCCATTTTTTAACATGTAATTTGAATCCATAGTCAAATATTTTGGGTTTCCATTGTTCAAAATTAAGTGGAAATACTTGCTAAATGTGACCATAAATTTATTTTAGTGTGTGCAATACAATATATGCTCACACATTTTATTGGTAAGTTCAAGTTTGAGTTTCTATCTTATAATCTTCTGCATAAAACATTTGAATTACAGATATTTAGGGCCATTTTGGGGACAGAATCCAGCCACAGTCCCAATTGGAAATTTGTCTTTATTTTCCCAAATTGCAGAAGAAGTTTTCCCAAAGAAATCCTTACTGTGTGATCAAAATCAGTTTATTGCATGTTTCTCAATGAAGTTTAAGCTGGTTTTCTTGGTCAGTCACTTTAGCTTCCTTCAAAATTAGATAATTCATATCACTATTGTGCTTGATGTTATTAAATATTTACTACATAATTCAAACCATAAATATTTTTTTTGAGTTGTTATTAAAAATTATTTAAGTAATATAAAGACAGCGACAATTATATTTGACAATTTGATTAGGATTTCTCAAAAGCCCATTAGTCTATTTGACACTGAAATACTCAATTCTGAGGGTCAGCCCCCATCCTAAAGTACTGAAAAAAAAAAAAACAGTACTGATTGAAGTAGTTCTTACATTGGACCTGAGCTTAAATTTACCTTTATTGAATAATTCCTGAAATTTGCTAGTGAATTGTCAATTTTGCTATTATTCCTTTTTTGACACTAACTAGTTTGCTTATGGTAATTAAATTAAAGTTAATATTGAACCATTTTTTATGTTTATCCATCATACCTTGTGGTAGTTTACTGGCTGTGTCAGTTTTTTATGTTTACCCATCATACCTTGTGGTAGTTTACTGGCTGTGTCAGTTTTTTTATGTTTACTCATCATACCTTGTGGTAGTTTACTGGCTGTGTCAGTTTTTTATGTTTACTCATCATACCTTGTGGTAGTTTACTGGCTGTGTCAGTTTTTTATGTTTACTCATCATACCTTGTGGTAGTTTACTGGCTGTGTCAGTTTTTTACATTTACTCATCATACCTTGTGGTAGTTTACTGGCTGTCTCAGTTTTTTATGTTTACCCATCATACCTTGTGGTAGTTTACTGGCTGTGTCAGTTTTTTACGTTTACTCATCATACCTTGAGGTAGTTTACTGACTGTGTCAGTTTTTCATGTTTACTCATCATACCTTGTGGTAGTTTACTGGCTTTGTCATTTTTTTTATGTTTACCCATCATACCTTGTGGTAGTTTACTGGCTGTCTCAGTTTTTCATGTTTACTCATCATACCTTGTGGTAGTTTACTGGCTGTGTTCAGTTTTTTATTTTTACCCATCATACCTTGTGGTAGTTTACTGGCTGTGTCAGTTTTTTATGTTTACTCATCATACCTTGTGGTAGTTTACTGGCTGTGTCAGTTTTTTATGTTTACTCATCATACCTTGTGGTAGTTTACTGGCTGTATCAGTTTTTTATGTTTACTCATCATACCTTGTGGTAGTTTACTGGCTGTGTCAGGCCCCTTCATCTTCTTCTTCTTTTTGCCAACTCTCGTTGGGACTGGCGGCTCATACTTCTTTTTCCTTTCCTAAGTAAATTCAATTCATTATGTTCAATTATAAAAAAATTGTATTTATTCATCTTTAGATACTAGTTATATCTACACCTTTTAATCTACATCACATACCTTGTCATCCTTTTTCTCACCCTGACCCCCTGCTCCACCTCCTGCTTGCTGATTTCCCTGTAATTTAATCAAATATTATGCAGGTGATATTGTTCAATTCTATCTTTTCTTTGATTGTAACAGAATCTGACACATCTTTGACTACTTCTCTCTGTTTCAAATTTTTCACGATATATTCTTTCAAATCATTGCACGAGATACAGTGCAACAAAAAAAATGTATAACTGTTTAAAAATGCACTTTGCAATGTAAATAAAGGATCAATGAATTTTCCTCAAGTGACTGACTCACAAGAATCAGAATTTGGGGAAGAAGGGGGGACTGTTTATATGGTCTTTTAATGTAATCACTCATATTATCCAAATCATAAAATGATCAAATTTCAAAGACATCCAAATTTTCATTAATTCAATTGAGAATATATCTTTGAAATTCAAAAATAACACGTCAACAATATTCTCCTATTTTATGCTAAAAGTAAAAGTCTGTTTCATAGTAGCAGTGATATGATTGAGAAGCCCAAGAGAAGGTCAATGTGACTATGGCAATATTGTTAAAATATTTAATGGGCCATCAGCAAAATGAATGGACCATCTATATACGAATATTCCAACCAGGGACCTATATACTAACAGGGACCTATATACTAATATATAGGTCCCTGATTCCAACTGTGGCGAGGGCCTGTACAGAGACACAGATTATTCTAACTAGAATCAGGAATGAAACAAATTCTTTGCGACTAAAAAAATTGTAATAAAAAACACATAATGATAAACAAACTTGGGGAAAAAAATACATTTTATTGTAATATGAATTCATAAAACATCGCTTTCTGATCTTGCTTCTTTTGTAACCCCCCCCCCCTTTCCACAAATCGTTTTCTTGCTTTCCATTGTTTTCTTTCTTAAAGTATATCGTTATAGAAAATATCAAAAATTCTACTTAACAAAAATGGTTATTTTTTACATGAAAACAAAGATAAGACCTACTTTTTGGTTCCTGAAACTATGAAAATAATCAAAATTGCAACTCACCATTCTCTGAAACCGGATGTATGTAAATTTTAATGTCGATCCCGATCACATATCAAATGTACTATGTGTTTTCGAAATTAGTGATAGTTTTTACGAAATATTTTTTAAATAGAATGATTATAGTTGGAATTTTTTTTTTCATCAAAGGACAATAATTGGTATTTTCTTATGTTATGTGCGGTTTTTATGAATAATTTACCGTTCACTTTGTATACTTTCTGTCGGTTGCTAATGTTCAAAATGAGTGCTGTTGAAAACAGAAAACCTAGCTATTAAATGTTGATCTATATTATCAAAGAATTGCCAAAGTGGTGATACGTCTGAAACACTGAGTATCCCACTGTCTACTTTTTTTCACATGTGACAAGATATTGAAAATGGAAAGGAATTCAACAACTGTTCAACAGAGGGAAAGAGCTTGTAGTTAGGGTCAGAAAAGTAACCCCATTTTTGTACACTTACTGTTGCTCTTATTTAGCAAATATCTCAGCCTTCTATGATCATTAAATGTTAGTTTACTTGGCATACCATCTCTTTTCCTTATTAACTGAATTACTCTTCTGTTTTCAGTATATTTTGTACCACACATTACAAAGTAGATAGTGAAATACTCAATGATTCAGAAGTACATGTATCACCAAGTTTAACAATCCCTTAGTTATACATATCTTATATAGACGCTATGTTTTCAAAAGCAGTGATTTTGAACAACAACACAAACAGGAAGTGTATAAAATAAATGAGATGTTATCCATAAATATTGCATGTATCATAAGAAAGTAGTGCATGGGAACTTATATTAACTATTAATCCAATGCTTTCGATAAAGGTATTGTCCTTTCTGACATATTTTATTTCTTAAATAAAATCTGCAACATGACGACTTTTTTTAAGAAATAAAATATGTCAGAAAGGACAGTATTACAAAATATTCTCAAAATTCTCATAATAATTTCGGGGCACACTATATAATCCGAACAAGTTGCAAACTGCCATGGTGTCATTTTCCATTCATTGTTTGTAAAATTTAGAATCGATGAAATAAACATAAAAAATGATAACAATTTTTCGATTAACAGATATACGACATATAGGTAAATTAACATGGTCTATCTGTTCCTCTCAAAAAATGAAAGATCAAGGTGGACCTTTGTTTCTTTCTCCATCTGCATATTTTTTTCAGTTCTTCTGCCTTTTTTCCTAAAATGGGGGACATAAATTCTCTGAATTAGCTTATTGTTCATTTTATTCAGCACTCGTCTTTTCCATTTAATTGGATGTTATGTCTAGATTCCTGATACGTACATATATAGAATTTGTTGGGTGGGTGTCAATGCATTGAAGCTGTCCTTTAAGATGTAAGACGAATAAATGGAGAGTAAATGATGATTAATGAGTAATGATACAATTTATTATAGATTGTTTTAAAAATCATTTTAGAGTAAGATTAAATAATTAAATACACTCTATGCAAACATGTATTTTCCCCAGTGTAAGTAAACAACATTGATTTCTGTACACTTAATACTTCATTGTCTTTTATTACTTGGGATATATGACAGGTACTGTCTATTGGAAATAAATAACATAAACTCAATATATAAACCTTAATTTGTAAAATATTATTGTCCAAAAGTTAAAATGAATGAATAAATAAAACAAGCTATTTTTGAGAATTTGTGAAAAAAAGAAAAGGGTGGAAGACGTGAAAAAATGCTGATAGAGAAAGACAAAAAAGGTCGACCTTCAGCTTTAGACGTTAAAGTCAATAGGGGTCTATTAACGAGGTCCGCTCCTGAGCGTTTGAGTAGATTTTTGTCTTAACCTATATTTCAAAAAATCTGCATAATGTTTCAGTTCTTACAACAAATTTGGATTTTACAATACCAATTAAACGATATTCAGTTAAAACTCCATGTTTGAATTCCATGCCAAAAGCATTAAGTGAGGAACTATATTTTGTGGCGGATGGATTTTTAGAAGAAAATGATCATTTTTTTCTCTTTCGAAAATGATCATTTTTTTCTCTTTCGAAGTATTTAAAGTATGTTAAGTTTGGATTCCTATTTCTCCATGCAGCCTGCACACAAAGTTATTCTGTGCCGTGAACTGTTTTATGCTGGTCCTAAATTATATATTAAATAAACTATTATGAATTCTATCATCATGTTTGATAAATATAGGAAATATATTTCGAAAATCAAGAAAAAAATAGCCCTGACTTAAGCTTAAAATTAGCACTATTTTAGAAATATATAAAAATTAACATCACAGACCCCTACTTTTAATTTCCTTTTCTGAATATCGCAGCTATGTTAAGGCTTCCCGAAGCTTTAAAATGCGCTCAAAAAATAATACGTCATTGCGAGGTCGGTTTTAGTTTTAATTTATAAGTATTGAACTTAAGTACTCCCAATTTATATAGAGGTTTCCTCGGCTATATATTAACATATTTGTTATGATATCACATGACTTTGTTGATCACGTGACGGTCATTTATAATTATTTGAAGTGTTCCATATAAATCGCTTCGGCGCAGCTGATTTACACAAAAATTATTAACATTTTGTTATATAAATAAACTCATCGTATCCTTGTGTATCCGAAATGTGCTTGGGAAAAGTCACAGTATTACTTAGATACAAAATATTTCATGAAAAATTCAACTTACCTACAAATATGAGGGTATTTTCCACACAATATCGTAATCTGTATTAAAACAAAGCCAACACACATTTTTCCCAAGCAAGATTCAGTTAGAGAACAACCTCTTCCTACATATTTCCACAGAATTTCTCAGATTAACCCTCATTAATCACCTGCGCCAGACTCTTTTATACACACAAAATAAATTCTACCTCCAACCACGGGTATAAAACAGAGTACATTTCAAAAGTTTATTTTTCATAAGCATTTTGAACATGCTGAATTTCAATCAAGGGTAGGTAAGCGGTGTATTTTTAAAATATTCGGACATATAAGACTTAAAAAACCTTTAACGACCCCTGAATTTTGCAATAGCTATCTAGTATTTTACATGCAGTTTGAAATAAAGTTTTAAGTTCATGACACTCTCCCCGTCATAACACCTCAAGTTTGCAGTGACTTGACGTCATTTTCCATTATGACGTCATATTTTGGTAGTTCAGAGATGTGAAGGCACAGAATGCACTGTGATATTCGTCGGGAAGCCTTAACTTGCCTGCGATATAAGATACTTTTAACCATTCTTCTTAAATTCAGTAAAATGTCATTACTTTCAAATGATTTTATTGCTTGTTGAAAATTTTAATGTCAGAGAAATGATATTTTTGAGTGCAAAAAGGTCAAATAATTGAACATGCGAAGTAATTTGAATTTTTTTTGTTGTGACAAACTTCAATGTGTCTATTCAAGATAAAATAAGACTGTGTTTGTTCCCATAATTTATTTGAATAAAAATTATTTGAGGAAAAACTTTAAAAATTGATTTATGTGTAAGAAGTATTTACAGTGCAAAAAGGTCAAACTAAATGCTCTGTAGCATCAAAAGAAGCGCATTGACCCCCCCCCCCCCCATTTTTTGTTTTGATTTTTAATTAAGCTATGTGTGTAGATTCTTAAAATATACTTGATAAAAAATTCTCATTACTTTTGATGACAGGATCCAACCTCCTTAAGCATTAAGTTAGAGAGATCAAGACCTTATGTTTCATTGCAAATAGAGAGAACAGGGATAGTACTAAGTTATCATCTGAAAACTATGGATGCAAGATATCAATTTTTGACCTTGGTCTTTGACCTCAAAATTAATAGAAGTATTTTTTTTAAGGTCATATTAACAAAAGCTATAAAATTTTATTGCAAAACCTCAAAGAGAAATAGAGTTATCACCAGGAAACCAATTTATGCAAGATATGAATTTTTCACCTTGAACTTTTGACCTAAATATCAAAAGAAACCTCTTTAAGTCATTGGGACTTATAATACAAGATTTCAACATAAGATTTCAATATAAGATTGAACATCTGGAAACCATTTTTTGCAAGGTATGGATTTCTGATTTTAACCTTTGATCTTTTGACCTAAAAATCGATAATGGTCTTCATATAGTCACTAAGAGTTATGATGTAACATTTCGTTGAAACAGCTGAGAGACACTTCATCTGCATGGAAACCATTATTTTGCAATGTATGAATTTCTGACCTTGACTTTTGACCTTCTAACCACAAAATCCTTAAAGGATCTTTCTTAAGACACTGAGAGTTATGATATAACTAAACTGAAAAAAGCTGAAAGAGACATAAAGTTATCTTCTGGAAACCATTTTTTGTATGAATTTCTGACCTTGACCTTTTGACTTCAAAATCAATATAGTTCTTTTACAGGCAATAGGAAGTTGCTGTATAAATTTTCATTGCAAAAGGTCAGAGGCTCTTTGAGACATCGTCCGGAAACAAAAGTGTTACATGACAGACGGACGGACAGACCCAAATGAATATCCCCCACTTTCAGTGAAAAAAAAATAAGAAGTGTATACTTACATTCCACATGCACTTTTCTTATACAGCGTACGGAAAGCTCTGGCACAAACTTCCGCCAAAGTTTGTTTGTACATGTACCAAACCCTAGATGAGACCTCGACAGGGAGTATGGCTCTGGCATTGAAAACACTATAACACGGACGAGGGGGTAAAAAAATACCTTATGATTATTTCGACGTCACAGACGTTGGACACCGTGCAAGTGCAACAACATAAGCAAAAATTAAAATTCAACTATTGTTCCGAGGTAATGGGGAATGCTATTGTCCCCATTATCTCGGGACAATAGTTTGACCGTTCTCCTTATAGTCGTGAAATAAGTGTATACTGTTACCAAACACTTTGACTGTTTCATGATATGCAAAAACATTAAAATGAATCAAGAAACAGTTCAAAATGCCTATTAACTACAATTTATATAGTAGGTTAAGTAATAACAGTAGCTGTTGGAGTGGCTTTTCCATTAATTATGAATTACCCGTTACAGGGGTCTTGATATAGAAATCACATTTGCAGACAAGACAGTGGTTACATTGTATAAATGTAAATTTAAGCACTGAATTATTTTTTTGAAAGATGTAGTCTCATCACTGCCAGGGGTCATAAGTCAACACGTTGCCATGGGAACGTGTTAACTCGGGACCCCTGGCATTGCGAGGAAGAGTGTGAAAGAATATCAAAATAGTATTTTGTCACAGTGTGAAAGAATATCAAGTGTGGCAAAATTCGAGATTTTCCTTCCCTTCACGAAGAATGTTGCAAAAAATACTCCCTGAACTGTTGGAAAATAGAGTAAAATAACAATCCTGAAAAGTTTCTCCAAATATATTTGTTGAAATCCATGTTTTTATGACGTCTCAATCGCTCAACTATGATGTTACAGCCTATGACTCTGAACATTACAAGACAGCACTAGAGGCAAAGGGAAAATCAAAGAAAATATAATAAATAGAACCATAGGTTATCGACTATGAATTTATATTCTTTAATCATAATTACTTATGAAAAACTCAGTACATCTGATCACAACACGAAAGTCAATATTTGAATGTAACTGTTTAATGTATCAACAAAATAAATCACCTGAAATGTTCGTTAACATTACAATTGATAGAAGTATCATCAACAAAGTCAGAGAATACTGACTAAATTTTCAACCTGATTAAAATCAGATCCTTTGATCCGCTCACATAGTTCGCTGTAGCGATCTATGTGAGCGGATCAAAGCATCTGATTTTAATCAGATTGACTAAATAATCAGCTTGCACATTTAACTTGTATGTCTCCTGGATAGGGAATGTGAAGTATAATGCTACCATATAATGCCACATGGGACCTGTAATGTTTACATTGCACGCGCACTGGTATATGAACATGAAAACGAAACATGAACACAAAGGATTAAAGAAAGTCCTCTCAAAAGCTTCTTAATAGTCTAATTACAAATCTGTGCATGTCATATAATATAAAATAGATAAATATTAATCCCGTAAGTTCCAAGTATAGCATTTGATCATCTATACGTATATTTATAACAATTCGTTAGAAGGATTAAAAAAAAAACAAAACAAAAAATAATCTCCGTGTGCAAAAAGTACAAGTGAAAAGGTCCACCTCATTTAAATTATTTTATCTTATATAAAAATCAAATTGCAACTTATGAAGGTGAAAATAAAACCCCTCAATAATGTGCAAAATCAACGGCATAAATAGCCTTTATATATCACAGAAACGCTTAGAACATTAGTGACCATAAAAAATAACAGGTGTACAGAAAAGTGTCGTCAGATGATGACGTAAAGAGCTGTGTACGGAATTCGTGACCACGAAATCATAAATACATATATAAATTGATCCTTATAATATCATTGAGCACTTTTGACTGTAAATATTTACAATATGTAAATAAATAGGACTGGTGAATGTTAAATCTTCGTATATGAGGTAAAATCATGACCTTCAAGAAGTGGAACACCCTTGCTTTTGTTTCTGCGTCTCATTATAAAGATGGCGACACAGATAACACCCACTACTGCTAAACATGCCCCTATAATAGCACCAGTTGAGGAGGTAGAAGAGCTTGTCTTTCCGGAATCTGCGCCATCGGGAGTCTCAGAATTGAACTCTGAATTAGACTGAACTAGGCTATTTTTACCAGTGTAGAAAAATGGATTGTCCTGCCAAAATAAGCAAAAAAGAAAGATAATAAAAAATTTGAATATACGTTGTAATTAAATTAAAAACCTTGCATGGATTGATCATTTAATTATTAATTAAGTCTGAAAAAATGTAAATTAATTTGATTTACTAAATTATCAATTCTAGCTTCATGATTGAAATAAAATGTTAAAGTTAAATTGAAAAAAAGGTTTTGCATTCTTTGATTTTATATATATATATATATATATATATATATATATATATATATATATATATATATATATATATATATATTCACAAATCAATTTGATAAGGTTATGCAGTGTTATGTTCTCTATATATAGTAACATACGGCAGTGGGGCATTCGATTGGCTCTTCCGGCGTCCATTTCAACCTCTTTTGTCCCACGGGTTCGATCTGAAATTACGGATGATCAAATAATATCAAATAATATTAAAGAACAGGAAAAAAACAAAATATTAAAGGAGGAAGGTCGTCCTACCATGTTGTTCCAAAGTGCCTCGGCTGCAGCCTTGTGTCCCTTCTCACTAAGATGGAAACAATCAGGGGCGAAATAACTTAGATCAGCCTCGTTGGAATTGGCCTAATTTAAAAATTAATTTCGTGATGAGATTACATTATTATGTGAAAATTGTGACAAACTTAACGATAACTTTGGCGTGTTCTTACACACATCCTTGAAAGAAGTGATACAAAAATTAAGAGGCATATTTTTTTTCAACATGTCAACCTACAATAATACACAAAGTGAATATGCATTAAAATTTAAAATGTATCAAGGTACCAGTCTTGGGATGCCTGTTTCTTCAAAGAAAGGCTGAACAACGACGGTAAAGTCGTCCTTTGTGTCGTATCTCCCGGATTCGACGAGATCACGAACACTTTTCTGGTACGCCAGTACCGCTGCTCGCATTTCCTCTCTCTCTTTTTCAGACGGGAAGGTGCCACATCGGCATAGAAAGCTATTAAATGAGAAAAACAACATTCTTTAAAGTTCCATCTACATAATTTATATTAGTTATGGTAAAAATGCCACAGAATATAAAATCTTACAAATGAATTGTATCGCAGATGAGGCCTTCATTAAGAACGTTGATGTCCGCGATGTTTAGAGTCTCTACAACGTTGACGAAGGCTCTAGGCACGTTCTTGTGTAGGGTATCTAAAGCTTCTGTTATATGCGCGATGTAGTTGGCCGTACTAAACGTCTCCTAAAATCAAAAGATCAAAATCAAATATATAGATATAATTTTTTACGTGTAATTACGAGCCAAAGTCTTTAAATTCACATTTGATTACATAATTATTAAAATTTTCATTTTTCTGACCTTGTCATCACAATAGTCACAAAGGTCATTTCCGCCGACAAACAAAGTGATAACCTTCCAGTCATTCTCAAAATCCACGCCAGGCTCCTTCTTCATTCGCTCTATCAACAAATTGGCCTGTGCTGGTATATCTCTACAAACAGTAATGACGAAAAATCAGACGCTAAGACAAGTGTATTTTTTCTATGAGCTGGCCTACTGGCAACTGCTTATTCACAAAGAATATAAACACTATAGTCATCGATATATTTATGATAGCTGCATTTCATTTCCGGCATTTTTGAAAATCTATTACATGTATTATTATTATTATACATGTACCCCCCCCCCCCCCTTTAAAAGCGGGGTGTATATGGGGATATCCGTTCCGTCCGTTACGCTTTGGGGTACACATGTCTTATCCACAACTCCTCTTATACCACTGAATAAAATTTAATGAGACTAGCTTTCACAGAATCAATGTTACATAGTACCATTGTGCACCGCCTATTTTACTTTTGATCGGACACATATTTCAGGTTTCCAGTAGCAAAACATAGACACGATCAATCTCAATCTTTCCATATTATTGAGGGGTACGCATCTCTTATCCGCAACTTCTCTTATACCAGTCCACTGAATAAAATTTATTATTTTCACAGAATCTTTGTTAGTGCCATTGTGCACCCCCATTTTTCTTTTTGATCGGACACTTATTTCGGGTCTCCTATAGCAAAACATGGACTTTGCCATTATACTCATATGGGAGACGGGGGTATCATTTTGTGAGCTCAGTGCTCACAGTACCTCTATTTTTTTTTCTTTTTCTGTATATTCACTTATCATATCCGGCATTTATAAAATAATATTTTCCAGGAGTTAAATTAAACAATTAAACTAGAGACTTTATGTATTGAAATCATTTTTAAGATTAAATAAATGAAACCCCGATATATCTCGAAAGCCAATTTCGATCGTATGTACCACAGGCACTTGTTTTGGTAATAAATTTTTAACCCATAGTATAATAATGTTATTATTATACTATGGGTTAAAAATTTATTACCGAAACAAGTGCCTGTGGTATGTACGTAAGTACCGGAATCCTGGGCTTGATTGAAAATTTGTTACCAAATGATGTAAAGAAATGCATGTGCCTGTATTGTCGAATAGTAAAAAATTACCTCTACCTCTCCATGGAAAGCAGAGGACAGCAGATGTTAAAAAATAAACAACGGAAATGAAAATAACTAGAACTGTCCAAATGGGACAAATACCCCCCGCTGGGTTTTTCACAGAAGGTACCAAATCAGTAATGTTTTCTAGATGTGAAAGGTGTTCACAATTTGCTTAAACATTTAGAGTGAAAATTTAATTACTCATTATATTTTTTTTAATGAATGAAACTAAGGTGCAGCCTAATAAAACATCAATACTAGTAATTACAGTGTTTTTTATTACATTGAAAAAATAGTTTGCAACTATCTGTATTTTTGTGAGACATGACACTCTGCAAATTGATTGTTGAAAAAAAATACCATAATTAATTATACAAAATTAAATTGATCTTAATACCTTTATATCAAACTCATTTTAAAAATAAAAGGCTGGTTCCAGTAACTATGTATTTTGACAGACATAAATTACAATTAAGAGACTTAGACAACAGAGATCTTTATTTCTTTCTGCCCAATTCCCAGGAGATATAGATAAGAAGTGCTTGATCAGAGATGCCCTAACAGCTTCCCACTCTGAACTCATTAATTAATCTTTAACTGGATGCATGTCCACTCATTACTCCCAAGGGACAAATGGATTTACACTATCTGCTGTGTAATGTAAGAACTGTTTTTTTAGTTCTAATGAGAGTTTTAAGCTGTAGTTCACATTTTTGTACAGATGTTGTAGATTCTATGTCTCAAACCTTAGACATGAACCCGAAATGACCAAGTCAATAAAAATGAAGGAAAAAAAACTATAAAATGCAGAAAAATTATCAAATAATGTTGAAAATACCAGGTGCACATCTTCATATGGTAAATAATAAGTGTAAAAATTTTCATACAAATCTATGCAATAGTCTCTAGGAACAGATCCGGACAAAACCACATAATAAAAATGAAACAAAACACCTGTAAAATGCAAAAAAATTATCCAATCATGATGAAAATACCAGGTGCACACCTTCATATGGCGAAGAATAAGTGTACAAATTTTCAGACAAATCCTTGCAACAGTTTCCAAGAAATGGTCCGGACAAAATCTCGTCTACAGACAGACAAACAGACGGACAGACAGACGGACAAGCTGATTCCAATATACCCCCCCTAAACTTCGTTTGCGGGGGGTATAAAAACGTGTCGGATATTTTGAGCATAATGCTGGAAATAAAAAAAGCAGTGTTTATGATAATCAACAGAGTTTTTGCCCACCTTGCCTGGTCCCCCGGATTAGCTACGTTAAGGTGGGCGTTCCCGCTGTCTACATCCCCTCGTCCAACGGAAAATCCTTTGATGTCAGGATTGTACTTTTTCAGGATGTCTAAATGTGATAAAATATCATATAACTACAGATTTATCAAAGGAGAGTTACCATTTGTATTAAAAACATGTCCCATCGCCGCTACTCACTTGCCAATGTGACGTAATCTTCCACCTCCTTGTCTCCACCGATACTGAATTTGTAAAAACACTCTCAAAGGTTACAATATAAAAATATATATCAATGTTTATTATAGCAAATGGTATTCTATAAAAAGAATTTAAAGTAAAGCATGCACTGGGAAAAGGGAGCAACTAAGAGAGGAAAGGGGCGCCCCGAAGTAGTATATACTGGTCCTGGAAAGTTGTTTTTACCTCCATGAGAGCCCTCTGTACTCTATAAGTAGTCCAACGATTGTTTGGGCTTGAATTCCTGTACCAGCCTAAGAGAGAAAAAGATAAGTATGTTACTAAAACCAAGGTTCAGGAAATCATTTGTTAAAACTACGTATTGTAACACTGTAAAGAATGCAATATCGACAAACCGTTATAGAATCGCCTAATCCAGCGACAACTTTAATGTCTTCTGGAGCCAAATTATGTACTGAAAAAAAAAATTACACTTCAGTTAATGTAAAATAAAAGGTCAAGTAAATGTCGAAATTATTTCAAGAAATATTGTATATCTATTATACATAAGTACCTGATGCGGCTCCCCTTTTCAGACTGTATTTTGAACAAGGAAATTCTGGTAACTTAAGCTTAAAAAACAAAATGTAGAAATTAAATATTTTCACAGAAAATGTACTAATAAAGTAGATATGCATCTGTTTTCATAGGATTTATAAAATGATACAAACCTGGTTTTTGGCCACTTGGAATTTTTTGACGTGTTCAGCAAAGAGTTTATTCAAAGTTTCGTTGTTTGCCTGGCTTAGGATAAATTCACGATATTGTTTATAGTCAGCCACTGAAAAGAAAACAAATACTAGTATGTACTGGTTACTGCAATTATTTTTGTGCAATATGCCCTCGGGCTGAGGTTCACGTCTCGGGCTGCTACGGGTAAAATAGGGGGAAAGGAGTGGGTAGATGTTTTCTATGTAATTTGTTTATCTCATTTTTCAGAAAAAAAGGCAACATTAAACAAATATGAAAAAGACTTTGATTAACAATGTAATTTTAATTTCAACAACACATTTGTAAATTAGGAAATAACATTTCATTTTTATTATCGAAACAAGTCAGAATGTTTCTGTGAATGTCAGATGTTCAAACTTAAGAACCTGGCGAATTGTGATAAAATGATTAGTCTTTTTTCTTCATTACAATGGTTTTGCCTAACTAAAATGAATTATATTTTAGAAGTAGATACATTCTATATATAGTGTTTAATCTTTTTCTCCAGGTGGCGGATCATAATATTTTGAACAGGTTTTTGCTTGAAAGATGCAAATTGTGTTCTGTTAATATCAATGAAGTCTTTCTCAGTTATTTAAAAGCCATCTGTTATATTACGTGATAAAGATTCGTGAACTGTAGTAATTTCAAAATTAAATTGTGCCAATATATTGCATCACAGTCATCCGTGTGTATCAATAGCATTAACTCTTTAATCTTAATTGGCTTTTGCTCTTTATAGAAGACTACCAGTCTTTAGTCTCACTTACACAGTAAACATACAGTCTGTAGACAAAATTAACACCCATACCAACAAAAATTCCTATAATAATAATCCAAGTTTACATAGGTCTGTTGTTAAAAGGCACTCAAGTTATGATGTCAAATTAGTGTTGACGCACTGGCGGATTAAGAGCTCCCCCCCCCCCCCCTTGTGTCAAAAATATACGTAAGTTTTAATAAATCATTTTGTGTGTGTGTGTGTGTGTGTGTGTGGCACTGGGCCCCCGACCCCAAACTGGTCTCCCCTTCTTCTCAAGATTCCTGGATCCGCCACTGTGACGGACGAAGAGACGGACACGGTGAGCACTAAAAGACAACCACATTTTGGTAAGAGTTTGGGTTTTTTTTCTAAAATAATTTTCCTAGTATAAAGATAAGACAGTTAAACTGTACCCGTCAATGAGTTACCAATATTTTGATTCTTGGAGATAGACCATAAACTGAAAAGTATCGTAATTCAGAATTACTTTTTTCTCATCAGACAACATGTATATAATTCATATAAACTTATTCGATCCATATACATATATACATGTACATCATATGTATATCAAGAACTGCAACAAAATTTCCTCCTTTTTGATCTAGCAGCCGACCACACTGGTAGGTTAATTCATTGAAAAGATTTTTTTTTAATATTGTGTAGTAAATTTTTAAAAAAATTGACCGATTAAATTATTTGTACTGTTTCCCCATTATTTACGACAGCATTGTACACACGAGATATAGGGAAATTATCGATATAATATGTAACATTATATAATTATTGCTGTTATTGAGGTAAATACGATGATTTAGCCTCGGTGAATATTTTACTTCGAAGGTTGCTACATCATTGAGTAAAAATAGTAATAATCGTTTTATTATATGATTCAAGGAATAAACGATACAAACTCATCAAGTAAAGCATGTCATCTTGTTTACATTTACTGAAGTCCTAGCCAAACGCAGCGAGAGAAGTGAGGTTTAAATAAACATAAACAGTTGTATTAAATTGGAATTTCTTAATCTATTTTAGGTGCGATGTAAAAAAAGAAAAAATAAATTTCAGCCTCGTAGCATCGATTTTGAAAGGGGGGGGGGCATTATAAGGGGGGAAAGACAACTTACCTGAAAAATCTTTTGGAAGATTAGAACCTCCCAGAAGAGGTGAATTCTCCAAAATTCATAATTATCTCGGGGCAGGGGGTTAGGGTCCATTAATTTTATGTTATGCAATTGCTCCTTCATTTTCTTGTTATTTGTCTGATCCTGGGCATTTGTGTTAGGAATATTAATATTCTGTGACACAATAAATTACACAATATATCACCCTACATACAAGTTTCTATACTTTCAAAGTCTTTTACTTGTTCTACTGCCAGGAGAGGGTGAAAAATTGAAGTAATTTGTTAAAATTACAAAAATAGATAGGTTTTCAGACGTTAAACGTATTTCAATAGTTCCAGAGAAAAATATTTTTTTCCGGGTGGGTTGGACTAAAAGTTTTTCTTTGCTTTTTTTTTTTTAAACATCTCAGTTAATTATAGTAAGTATTATGGAATTAAAGATGCTCTTCAAGATTTGAAATGTCATATCTTTAAACTCACTTTAATTTCAAACACGAACAATAAAAATATTTTGCGACCAACAAAGTGGTCACATATATATACATGTAAGGTCACATTTAAATCCTTTGTGAACAAACTAGAATATTTAACTACACGGGGGATCTAGTAGGCTATATATTTGTACATTATTTAAATACCAGTTGTATAAAATTTTAAATTACATATTGTACAGTGTAGATCATGTTATAATCTTCTGGGTTTCAGTAAAGAAAGTGAAACATGTACATTGTATAACATCTATATAAGCTTCTTTTTTTTTTTTTTTTTTTAAAAAAGTTAATCCCATCTTTTCAAAACCAGTAGATGAAGTAAGATACACAGTATGATCTATATTATATAACTTATTAAGTCGCTACGAAACACTATATACCTGCAAACTGTAGAAATATTGCCAGAAGTAAAACACGCCTGGTGTCCATTTTTCAGCTTTTGTCAGAACAATTGACAATCCGATGGAACCTTCACGTTATCAATGCAAATAAACTGATATGTACCATCACATGCCTTGATAGCAATAAAAACAGCGTCTAATATTTGATAAAGTCGTCATGCTACATGTTCTAAAAATACACTGCTGTCATGTGATTTAGGTGTTGACATTCAAAGCGGAAGTCACACTAAAAGAAAGAACCCTTTGTAGTAATAAAAAGCAGGCCTTTGTTGGCAGGAACAGTATGAAAGATTCACTTGTGACTGTAAAAAAGAAAATTTAATTAAATCCCGGAAGCAGCAATGACTTAAAAAAAGTACACAACATAGGTGGACCCAGGATTTTCAAATATAGAAGGAGGGGGGGAGGACTGAATTTTCACATCGACACATGCATGTACAATGTTCCCCCATTTTTGGTTGCCGGACCTTCTTTCAAAAACTCTGTTGAGGGCCTGTATACTTTGACAATGGTTGTCTTCGACAAGAACTCATTACTCAGCTGAAAGGGGGGGGGGGTATTTTTCAGTAAAAAAAAAATGCTTGTCAGACATATGTGTAGCATATATATTTAAATATAGTAAAAGTTTGAACAGCTATTTAAAAATAATTCTAAAACGACGTACATTTCTGGCTTAACTTCTTTGGTGGCAATCACATTGTAAACTGAGAGAAATATATATGTATTATATTGTTAACTTTTATGCAGTCTAATTTCCTTGTTTTGTCTAGCAGAGAACCTCTTGACATGAAAATAAATCATTGGCTTATTATTGTTTATTATTAATTAAATATGTGTTGGGTACAAATATACTTTGTGAGAAATAATAACATTAAATTAATAATTAAAATAATAATATTTTACTCACTAATCATGCTGAATTCATACAAGCAAAGATATTTATTTGTCATATAAGAGGGAAATTCTTCAGAAAGACAAATGTTCTAGAAACAAATTCTCAAATGAAATTTCATTTCGCCATGAAATATAATTCGACAAGGTGACGGAACTCATTTAACCACATTATAATAAGGAATATTAGTTAAGTTTTGTTGCATTTTTTCATATCTTTAACAATACTTTAGCCTGAGACTAACTTTATTACCTATGTACATAAAGGTAATAAAGTTAATCTCAGGCTAAAGTATATATGTACATGTAAATGAATTTATTGTTTACACATTGAACCAATACAAGCTAATTCAGGGAATTTGTGTCGCCCGCTTAACGGAAAACCTGAAAAAATGCAGAAGGAGAAAGATAAAAAGACCTTGACCTTTCAGCTTGTGGCCTTAAAGTTTAGGGGGGGGGGGGTCTTTCTTGAGTTAAAGAAAGTCATGGCGCAAAAGACTTACAGAAAACTATAAAAACAAGATAATGTGTTTGTGAAACACTGAATTCCAATGTCAAGATCAATGCAAGAGGTAAAAAAAAATGTACCCAAAGGCATTGTCAGAGGAAAAACACCGCTATGAATAAATATGAATTTAAAGTCCTATCACCAACCAATCAAAAGTTACAACCATGGTTAAAGTTTTTCAAAATGGGTCAAACTCAAAGGTCAAGGTCAACAGGTAAAAAAATATTTATACTAAAGGAAAGGTCTTATCAAAAGGAATACATGTACTCCTGTGAAGTAAGAAAGCCCTAGCACCTACCGTTCAAAAGTTATGGCCAATGATAAAATTTGGTAAAATTTTGAAAAAATGAGTCAAACTCCAAGGTTAAAAAAGGTCTTGTCACAAGGAATACACATGTGATATATGAAAGCTATAGCTCCAAACAATCAAAAATTATGGACAAGGTTAAATTTTTTTCGCGGACAATTAGACAGCTAGACAGACGGACAGGGCAAAAACTGTGTGTCCCTAATCTTCAATTACGGGGGCAGAAAAATATCCTCTGAAAACTATGTATGCAATATAGAATTTCTGACCTCGACCTTTGACTTTTGACCTCAAAATCAATAGGCAGGCTATAAAATTTCATTACTAAAAACAGAAACGAAAGTGTATCACACAGACAGAATGACAGACAGACAGACAGCCGGACAAACCCAAATTGATATCCCGTTTTTCCAGTGAAAGCGGGGAACTAAAATAGGGAGAAACACAAGTCAATTCAAATCAGCAAAATTACATTACAATGTTTACTAGTCATGCATTTAAACATAGTACATGTATACTTGTCCATCAAGTTGTTGAGGTATAAAATGTACCCGAAAATGTTAATGATAAAGTCTTATTAATTAAGCATATACAAGATCCAGTATATATTACAAATTAGTAATTTAACTTCACAAATTTTGCTAATGTCTTCTGTCGTCATTCGTCTTTAACCAGCAAATTGAATACCGCGGGTTATCCTCCAACATTAAATTTACATCTTCTACAGAACCTTCAGCAGCTGCTCTTACATGTATCTATTGCATCGTTCCAAAATACCTATAATTAGAGAAGGAAAAACACTACGTCAGATAGATATACAAATATACATTGCGTAGGCCCATATTTAAGAAAAATGCTTTTGATGAGTTTCGATTTATTATTAATTCCAGTTAAGTGTGCCGTTTCGCATTACGTCACAATCTTTTTCGACAGATGCACCCAGCGTAAACAATTCACGCCCCCGCTGCGTGATTGGTCAACTCATTTTATCAATATTGACACGGAAATAGTCTGTTGCACCAGCTACCAATCAGGGATAAGAAGAAACTTCCAGTTATAAAGCTTGCGGTTAGGAGGCGTCTAACATTTACCTTGAGCGCAGCTGTCATCATAGGTTGTGACGTAATGCAAAACGACACACTTAACTGGAATTAATAATATTTTTGATTGAAGTCTAAATTATTTTAATCTGCAGGCCCGTAGAACGCAGGGACCCCCCCCCCCCCCAACTTTTTTCTGAGTATAGTATTTTGCTATAGTAAAGAGATGTATGCGATATATGCACATTTTGCCCCCCACAAAAGTCATATTTAGAAAATTTCTTGAAACGTGCTGAATTGTATATAAAGTATAAGGAATCAAAGTTAACAAAACGTATTATAGTTTCGAAGTAATTTCTGTTTCTATGACGTCACACACTATTTGAATTTTGTGATATTTTTCAGAAAGTTATACTGGAATAACCTGGGTTGGGACAGTTTATACGGAAGCCTATTAAGATCAAACTACGGAAAAAAAAATTTAAAAGGCGTTATAAAGCCTTTTCAAAAGGCGTTATAACGCGAAAAAAGGCGTAATAATGCCTTTTGAAAAGGCGTTATAAAGCGGAAAAAGGCGTAATTACGCCTTTCCAAAAGGCGTTATGACGCGAAAAAAGGCGTTATTACGCCTTTCCAAAAGGGTTATTACGCCTTTCTAAAAGGCGTTATTACGCCTTTCCAAAAGGCGTTATTACGTCTTTTAAAAAGGCGTTATTACGCCTTTCCAAAAGGTGTTATTACGCCTTTCTAAAAGGCATTAATACGCCTTTTCAAAAGGCGTTATTACGCCTTTCCAAAAGGCGTTATTACGCTTTTCTAAAAGGCGTTATTACGCCTTTCTAAAAGGCGTTATTACGCCTTTATAAAAGGCATTAATACGCCTTTAAAAAGGCGTTATTATGCCTTTTGAAGAGCCATTATTATGTCTTTGACAGGCCCTTGCTTTTAAAGTGGGGGGGGGGGGGTCCCATAAAATTGACAAGGAAACAAAAAAACAAGACCCCCCCTCCCCCCCCCCCCCCCGAAAAAAATAAACTGCCTAAACTTGACCTGAAACTTTTTCTAATTTTTCGGTAAAACTTTTTTTAAATGCAATGACTTGCCCGAGTTTAACCATACTGCAACACAATGTTAAGGGACCAAGCAATCAATAAATGTTTTTATATTTAAACTATAGCAAGACTATTCTCCCAAAAAGTGGGGTGGGGGAGCCCCCCCCCCCACCTCACATTCGTACTACCGGCCTGTTTGAAAAGGAGTCATATCCAAACAAAAATGGAAAGGCGTTATTTTAAAATAGTAAATATATGAAAGATTGAACCAAAGCCATCTTTATTTATGCCATATTTAGGTTATAGTTTTAATATTATAAATTATATTATAAATTATAGTATTTTCTATATTCCTGCACATCTCGCAGACAGTTGTTTGCATTTTGCATGCATATTAAGAGAAGTCAACGCTCTACTTTTGAAAATCGTAATAACGCCTTTCGGAAAGGCGTAATAACGCCTTTTTTCGCATTAAAACGTCTTTTGGAAAGGCGTAATTACGCCTTTATTTGTGTTATTACGCCTTTTTCCGCGTTATAACGCCTTTTTTCGCGTTATAACACCTTTTAAATTTTTTTACCGTAGTTTGATCCTGATAGGCTTTCGTAAGTTTACGCTTTATAAACCGTAAATTATGGAAATTTCGGAATTACGTCATTTTCCTGACGTCATATCTAACATATGGCGTCATGGCTGATGAAAATATTCAATGCCTTCAAGTCTGCAGATATCCCCCTATTTTAGAGCATAATTATATATTTCTCCGTCAAAGTTTGACTTGGGGGGAAAATATTGGTCATTACCGAATATATTCCTTTTCCTTTAGGTGCTGCCCCCCCCCCCCCCCCCCACACACACACACTTTTTGATGTCGTAAAGTCGAGCACTGGGAAATTCCAGGATTTGGACAGAAAATTACCTTTTTTCTTTTCATTTCTTTTTTTGCTTGTCAGATTTTTTTTCGGAAGTTGCCTCCCCCACTTTTGAAACCGTTGCTACGGGCCTGATCTGTGTTCATTAATCCTCATGTAAGGCAGTTAACAAGCTATACTTAATTTGCATTTGTTGATGTTCATCAGTTATGTAAAAGGTTTATAACAAAACATTTATAGAAAAGGTTTAGGGACAGAATGCGTTTTGCCGAAATCTCAAATCTCTGAAAATATTTATGCTGATGTACCTACATATACATATAGATGTTATTTCTTCGATCAATCTAGGTTAAAAAAAATAGAATTACTGTGAGCAGTGAACTCACAAAATGATACCAAGCTCCCATACGAGTGTAATGACATGGGAAAGCCCAAATATCTGTCCGGTCAAAATATAAAGTAGGAGGTGCACAATACATGGTTCTATGTAATAAAGATTCTGTGAAAGAATCATTAAATTTTATTCAGTGGTATAGTAGTGAAATATTGAAATAACGAAAAGTAATCAAGCTCGAAAGTCCATTGAAACAATACAAATCGGGAGCAGAGCAAACACGGATCTATAAAAACTTCAGAGTTGGGATCAGGTGTTATGGAGGAGTAATCATCCCCTGTCGACCGGTCACACCCGCCGTGTGTTCATTGTCATGATCGAGCAAACAGAAAACCCGTAGACAATTCAGTGTTTGAATAATGGCCTAACAATTAGTATGAAAAACGTCAGTCAGCATTCGACTTAATGATAGATTGTATTTGTTGACAAGGTCATTGTATCGACCATAAATCTTGCGAAATGATAACTTTAAACGAGACTGTTGATATTTTTGTTTCATCAACTTGTTTGTCAATAGCTTGCTTCGTTTTAGGAATTGTACGTAAGTGAAGCATGCTCTTGCGTATCGAAAAAGAGGAGTTGCGGATAAAAAAATGGGTAATATAGAAATAATGGCAGTGCCAGTGTCCATACTTTGCTGTGGAAAACTCGAAATATTTTCCGATCAAAAAGTAAATTAGGATGTGCATAATGGCACTATGTAATAAAGATTCAGTGAAAGTCCCATTAAATTCATTCAGTGGTATAGTAGGTGTTGCGGATAAGAGATGGGTACTCCAAAGTGTTACCGACGAAAGGGCGGACATTACTATATACCCCCACTTTTGAATGGGGGGTTAAAAAACTGACGGGATATTATCAAAATTAAGGATTCAGGGTAAAACGTGTTATGGCGCCTTTTATCAAAAGAGGGGAAATATGTGAACTGGCAACGTTGGCACTTCTTCATCAACACAATATTTTGCATGAACAGTAACACATTTTTTTTGAAATGATTTTTTAAAAAAATTCAAAAACTCCTACCATATTTTGTATGCAGTACTCCAACTACGACCAGTAGAGCTATTATGATGACGGTTACTGTTCCAATGGCGACACCGATCATTCCTTTATTGGTGTCATCCAAAGATTTCTTTGATACTGAGTTAAAAAAAAAACGCAAAGCTTCCTTAAATTAAAGAAGGTAATGGTACACAATGTTCATTTAGTTACACTTCTCTTCTTAATAATACATGAACAAGTCCCCTATATGTGACCTTATGCATAACATGATTGTTTACAACAGGTTTAAACCTCTAAGCAGTATAATGATGATTGATATCAAGATTATAGCCTTGATATTATTTGTATTGTAGCTTTGATGTTTTTGAGAAAGCTTTTACTATTCCAATAACATAAAATTATTACACCCATTGCGACCGCATCCTGAAGAGCTGTGATATTGTTCAAGTTGAAATCATCACAATATGAGGAAAAATCAGATATACCATCCTCGCAAGCCAGGGGTCCTGAGTCAACACGTTGCCGTTGGACCAACGACAACGTGTTGACTTAGGACCTCTGGCTTGCGAGGATGCAGATATACACACAGTTGTGTATACATGTACCTATCTTTAAGATACCGGTGTAAATCTTATTTATTGTGGCTCTATCCGGATGACGGTTTTTAATAAATCTATACCGAATTGGAATATTTGTGTATAAGTTAAACTGATTGTGTCATTGCTACTATGTAGAAGAGGAATTCATTTCTCATAAAACCCAGTAATGACCTCAAATTTATTGCAGAATATCTTAATCTTCACCTTTAAACAAATGCAAATGTTAGCCGGTATCTTAATTTGACTGGGTTTTTATTGTTATTTAGAAGAATATTTATTTTTTATATTTGTACCTAATTATATGTTTCTTTGACTCCTTGAGGTGGTCACACTCTAACTTTGCGGACTAGAAATTGATCAAATTGAAATCCTTACCCCGGGGACACCTGCTATTGAATATAATTAACTGTGATCATCAGATGAAAATCCAGAGAATTGTTTTGAACAAATTTAAATCCTACATAATACATTAGCTTGCTTGCAAATTAATTTCGTCAAAACAATGCCCTGTTGGTCTGAAAAAAATTGAATATTTCTTCCTATACGTTCTGTGTTCAAATCTGATGCCTGTAATAGCTCTAATGTGGTCCACTAGACCTTGAATTTCATATTACATAATAGCATATCCGGGTCGAACACTAATTTTTAAATGATTCAACGCAATTTTTATCTTTTTCTAATAAACACTGCTAGAAGAGATGATGGCTCATCGTTTGATCAAACTTGAATCCCCATTATATGTAGCTTTATGCTATTGGTTAAATTTTGATAGTAAAAGTAGAAAACATTTATAAAAACAAAACACGAGCACACAACAAACACATCCCCACAAGAGACAAACAGTCGACAAACGAATTTTGATCAGGAAAATCTACTTCAACTTTTGACTGAGGTAAGCGAGGAAGTTTGACTTTATTAGAGGTTTCAAAACCTGAATTCCATATCCTGGAATACAGAAATTCGCATTCCCACATCTAGTTCAATTACACTATGCACATTAAAAAAAATTAACCTGCAAGTTTATAGGAAAACACATTTATATTATGAATGATAGAATTAAAACACACACTTACAAACCTCTTTCAAATTTAGCTGGCATGGAGCAGCCCATCTTATTACAGGCTATTATAGCCACATCATGCTCACCATCATCACCCGCCAGAACTTCCGCGGAGTGAACTGTTGAATTTGAGTTGCTAATATTTGCCACAACCTCCCAAAGTGAGTTGTTGTGCCGGTATATGAGAAAATACTGGGCAGACCCACCATCATACTCCGACTTCCAGGATACTTTAAGTGTTCTAGCATTTATCCTCGAGATCAATATGATATTTGGTAACGCAGAGCTAGCTGAAAAAAATCCCATTTCCTCTGTTAATATTACAAACCCCTGCATTTTGTATTTTAGCAATAGTACAGTAAGATACTGCCTTCCTATCACACATACAAATAGGAAAGACACTCAAGACAACAAGAATATCGGAAACAGGACGATTATAATACCAGGTATTTCAAAGTTCATTAGTAATTTCTCAAACGGGATGAAATAAACATGATTGTGTGAAAGTCACTTCTTCTAAAACATGAAGACAATTATCGAAAAATAAAAAAAAACTATCAAGAACAATTTTAGAAAGGACAAGCTTAGGATTTCTGTTAAAATTGAGTAGATTCTCATGCACGTTGAACTTGTATACAATTTAGTATCCAGTCATATGAGTGTGAAGTATCATTTGAAGAATGAAATTAAAACCCAGTATACAAAGAACTTAACTAGAGAACGAAATTGATATCTATGAAGTGTCAAAGAAAAGCAGCTACAACTGATGTTAATCTTATTATGGGTTCAAAGTAAATAATACAAGATCCCTAAAAAGTCTTAAATATTGTTCGGTATTCTAAGTATGATCTTATCATCGGGAAAATATGATCCTTTTGATTTACCTACTCAGATCGATAGAAAACTGTAAAAAGCATATGACACTGAATACTCATAAGAATGACACTGAATATTCATAAGTAAATGAACTGAAAGAACTATAATAACTTCTCTCTATTAGATCACTTGCCAGTATGGCAAATACCTGACAGTAAAAAAAATCGAAAAAAAATGGTAATTATCTTTGATTGAATTGGAATATCGAAAGCATGTAATAAAGGAATATTGAAAGCATGTAATATTGGAATATTGAAAGCAGGGGATATTAGCTTACAAAATAAAACGCCAATGATCCTCCCGTTTTGCATTATGATATATGGAGATAACAAACTGTAATTAAGCTAAAAGTCAACTGAACAATACGAATCGGGAGCAGAGCAAACGTGGACCTCTAAAAACTTCAGAGGTAGGATCAAGTGTCATGGAGGAGTAAGTACCCCCTGTCGACCGGTCACACTCACCGTGTGCGCCTTGCAATGATCGAGAAAAAATCCGTAGACAATTCAGTGTGTAAATAATGGCCCAACAATTAGTATGAAAAACGCTAGTCAGCATTAGATTATTGTATTTGCTGATAAGGTCATTGTATCGACCAAAGAACTTGCCAAATGACACTTTAAATGAGACAATGGACAATCAACTTGTTTGTCAATAGCTTTCCTCGGTTTAGAAATTGTTCCTTTGTAGAGCATGCTCTTGCGTATCGAATCAACTGGGAGACATAAATCCCATATGCAGATGATAAGGGTATATTGCTACAAAAGAAAAGGAAGCTGACGATAGAAAGGTTAAAGTCATCACGTTTCTCATAAAGTTTTGTTGTTGTGTTATCATTAACGTATTTTTTCTAGTAAAATATCCAAATATGAATCAGAGGTGTCAGACTCTTTATCTTAATGTTCAACTTTATGCTATTTACAGGTGACTTACAGTTTTTAAGCCTGATTTTGTAGGTGTTGCTGCTATTAGATTCGATAATTTCTTTAGCACGACAAGAAATTTCATCGTACATGTTGACTAAATTGATAGTAAACGTGTATGTTGATCCATGTCGCATCAGTGATCCATTTCTGTACCAAGTATAAGACCAACTAAGCAGGTCTCTGTAGTATTCTGGAGCCGAGGAAGAGGAAGAGAGACACGTCAGAGTGATTGTTTTGCCATATTCAGCATCGTGTTCTGCTTTTATCATTGGTGTGGACGGTTTACCTAAAAAAATACATACGTCATTATTCTATAATTCGCCAGATATATTTGTAAGAAACTTAGAAATTTTAAAGTAAAATCGAAAGTCTCATCCGAAATAAATGTTCTTGAACATATATTTTTAGATATGCTTTAGTTAATGATGTACTGATAGGCCTCTTGCATCCTCTGGTAATGGGGCCCCGAGTCCACTCTTGGTCGTGGACTTAGAACCCCTGCATTGTGAGGATGGGCCTTTCGTTGATCATCTAAAAAATGTCGAGGCTTGCGTACTTTACTAAATAGAGTCTGGGTGAGATAATTGAAGTAAAAAGAAATAAAACTATTGAATTTTTTAAACCTTCTTATTCATTTGCAAATTGTAGGTCGATTGCAAGATTGCAATAACTCATTCCTAGATGCAATTCACACATGCAAAATTTGTGCAGATACGACCTCTAGTTCACTGGAAATAGGACCTTGTCCAAAGACTTCCACCTTTGACGCCGATAAACTAGAGAGAAATATAAAATAGAATTTATACATCGATTCTTAATTAATTACCTGCAACAACCAGCAGAATTCCTTTTGTGCTTTGAGCGTTGGAACTACTTATCCCACCAGCATAATATCCGGCGTCTGTGACAGCCAAGCTATTAATATTGAATTTGATATCGGGAGAATTTACTGGGCTGCTTTTGTAGATGTATTTAGAGCTCTGAATGCTGGTTGCCCCTAAATCAGTTATTTTTATAAGCGAACGACCATCATGAAAAACTGAGTATAATCCAGACGCAGGAAACTGGGAAATTGTCCAACGAAGGGTTGCATTTTGTCCTTCTTCGGAAATCAGTATATCGGCTGGAAAAAAGTTCATGAACAGCAATGCTTAACAATGTCGATACCGTTTTGGTAATAAATAGAAACAGAAATATTCCATAAAAAATTAAGGGTTACAATGATATTGTAAAACATTGATGGATTATTATAAACTTAGTTTTAATTATAATTATTGAAACCATCATTTTACTCTTCAAACATGCAAAATCAAAGTAATCAAGGTTAAGACTGAATAATATATATAACAACGTTTATGGGGCAATCTTACCCTTCGGGAGTGATATTTCTAATTTGAAAAACAGTGTTGAATTTATTGGTTTACTTAGATTCATTATATTTTTCTGGGTCTACACTACTCTTCTTGTGTACGTGCACTGCAAGGATTTGTAAAACTCGTACAATAAGTTTATTATGTACGTGGTCATAAATTAGTCACATTTTCTCTTCACTCAACTACATATACATCTATACGGTTGGAAACAATATACCAATATTACAAAGGTGGCTTTATTTAGAGAACTATTTTGAATATCAATGAAATATATGGAGATAACGAACAGTATTCAAGCTCAAAAGTCCATAATCAATACAAAATACAGAACAAACACGGACCTCCAAAGATCAGAGGTGGGATCAGGTGCCATGGAGGAGTGAGCATCCCCTGCCGACCGGTCACACCCGCCGTGTGCTCCTTGTCATGATCGGGAAATAACGGGAAAATCCGTCGACGATTCAGTGTGTAAATAATGGCCTAACAATTAGTGTGAAAAACGTCAGTCAGCATTTGACTCAATGATAAATTGTATTTGCTGACAAGGCCATTGTATCGACCATAGAACTTACGAAATGATGACTTTAAACGAGACAGCTGATATTCTTGTTTCATCAACTTATTTGTCAATAATTTACCTCGTTTTAGAAATTGTACATACGTAGAGCATGCTCTTGCGTATCGAATCAACTGAGAGATATATACCCCGTATGCAGGTGATGAAGGTATATTGCTGCATAAGTAAGGGAAGTTGACGATTGAAAAGTTAAAGTCATCACGTTTATCATAAAGCTTGGTTGTTAGATTACCATTAACGTCTTTTTCAAGTAAAATATCCAAATATGAAACAGATGTGTCAGACTCTGTGGTATCTTTTATCTCAAGTTCACAAGGATATATCGTATCGACATAAGAATGAATGAATCAAATGAATAAATCAAAAATGACCTTTTCCTGTTGCAAAAGTTCTATCCTGTCAAGGGATATGTATTTGTGGAACTAGATTTTGTATGTTACTTTTAAAGATGCCCCAAATGGAATAATATTCTGGTTAAAGTCAGCCTTGGTTATGAACTGTGTAAGGACCATGAACTGTTCTGTGTTGTTTTCATTTTAAAAGTTAACTCCACGACAAGATCAATAAGTTTAACTTATTTTTCTTTCATTGTAGTTTATACTTACGTCTGTTACTAAACAAACCACGGCAAATTTCATACCCACTGATTTGAAACACAAGTTTAACATCAACTTCAACAGAGGAATGTCTTAATCCATCTCTCAGTACATATTTCTGATCTTGAACATGATTCCACGGGAACATACGATCTCCACTCAGAGTCACAAATATCAACTCCTCTACACGCACAGTCTGCTTTGGCCATGTGAACACGACAGTTCCATTTATGAAGTTTGAATTTATTTTGTTCTTTTCTGAGCCTATACAATTTACAAAAGAAAAATGAATACCACGAATTTTAATAATCTGTTGAACTGAAAAAAATTATTCAAACTTACATTTTGGTTTCGCAATATGGATTGTATCACTTGGATCCGAATAGAGTTTCTCCTTAGCTTTACAAGTGATGACATCCAAGAACAAGTTTTCGTCTACGATTAGCCTTAATATTTTTCCTGATTTGATGTAATTGCTGTTCTTATACCACTCATAAGTAATGGCGGGAAAGAGCTTGTAGTACTCTGGTGTGGAAGTTGAGTTGCTGGAACATTTCAATGTTACATAGTCGCCCAAATTTACAGCACTTTGTCCAGTAATAGTTGGTTTTCTAGGTTTACCTGATAAAAGGTTTCCATGCAAACATCTAAATAAAGTTTTTTTTTTCTCAAATTTCGTGATACAGTAATTTGATTGAATATAACTTTAGGGGAACAAAGCTTTAAATTGAACAAATTGGATTCAAATTAGATTGCACGAAACTCGCACAATTTAAACAACTTATAAATCCAAAGTGATCTAGATTGCATTAATTGATTGATAAATCTCAAAGATAACTTTGGCTAAGTAAGGTTTAAGTACCATAGACAATAGCATGGATCTTATTTCCCTTTTCGGCTATAGAACTGGACGTACCGCCTGTGTAGATACCTGCATCATCAGAGGTGACATTTCTTATTTGAAATATGATGTTTGTTGAATTTATTGGTTTACTTAGATACATGTATTTTTCCGGTTTAACACTACTTTCCTGGTGAACGTTCAATTCAATGATTTGTACTTCTGAATGAAAAATAGCATACACTCCAGTCTTTGGGAATGCGGCAATATTCCAAGATATCGTCCCTGTTTCTCCTTCCTGAAAGAACTCTTTTCTCACTGAAATTTTGGAAATTTTAAGAAGATGGGTTCAATGTTAAACATACGAATGGATGTATGTTTTTTCATACATGTATCATAAAGTAAAAATTAGAACAAGGAACCCAGTATGATCATTTTAAAATAGAAAGAGGCCCAAGGCCCTTAACAGTTACCTGAGTATAATGCAATACTGTAAAGAAATCATAGAAATGTAAAATAAATAAATAAAACAAAATAACCTGATAGAGGAAGATATGTTGCTTAAGAACAAGAGAAACAGGATGATCAGGGATCAAGAAAATCTCTCATTCCCACTCACATTGGCCTCTCTTGGTCTTTGAAGAACATTTAATGTACTAAGATAAAGTATTTTTTGTCTCATTTTAATTTATCTATTATTTACAATTCTTCCTGACCATTAAAAAGTATGAATGTACTTTTTGTATTATACGATAAAAATTTTTGTATAATTCTTTATTCAAATGACCTTTCAATTATATTATTTACAGTGATTAATTTTCATAGGTGAATAGCAAAGTGGAATAACTTCTCTCAGTGGATTACAAATCAATAGAGCCCTACCCTGCATCAGAAAACTTGAGGGAGTGGTCAAGAATTTCACAAATCTGGAAAAAATACCTTTACTCATTACAACTTTGTACTCTGTGTGCCTCTTCGATGTTCATGAGCAGGGATTTTCAAAGCATTAATGCATATTCACTTCATAATCAAAAGAGCCCCACTCTAACACCAGAGCCCCTGATCCAGGGGCCATGAATTTCACAATTTTGGATTAGACACCCTTGATCATCATAACTATAATGCACTTAGTTTATCTGCTAAATACCCAGGAGCAGAGAAAAAGTTTTTCAAATTTTTTTGCATTTTCATTATACATCCAATACAGCCCCATCCTTACACCAGAATCCCTGATCCAGGCGCCAAGAAATTCACAATTTTGGAATAGGCACCCTTGCTCCTCATAACCATGCACTTTGTATGATTGCTAAATACTTAGGGACAGAGAAGAATATTTTCAAAGAAATAATGCATTTTCACCATATAATCAAGCCTTAATTCCAAAAGCCCTGACCCAGGGATCATGTATTTCATAACTTTGGAAAAACATCCTTGTTCAACATAATATGCAATTAGTCTGCTAAATACATAGCAGCAGATAAGAAAATTTTAAAATAATTTTTGCATTTTCACTATCTGATCAATAGAGTCCCGTAATAACACCAATATCCCTGACCGTGTATTACATGACTAAGGAAGAGGCATCCTTATTCATTAAAACATGCAAGGCTAAAGAAGAAGCTTTCCAAAGATTTACCTTGTTCACTATATAATGAAAAAATCACACTCTAACACTTGAGCCCCTGATTCAGGGGCCATGAATTTCATTATTTTGAAAGGGGCGTCTTTGCCCATCATACTTTATTTATTAAAGAATGCATTTTCACTATATAATCAATAAACCTCCTCAACACCAGAAACCCTGAACCTCAGGCCACAAATTTCACAATTTTGACAGAGGCACTCATGCTAATTACATGTATAACTATATTGTATGCACTGCTTAATATACAATGGGGAGATTTGTAAAGAATTAATGAATTTTCACTACATGATCAACAGAGCCCAACCCTTAGTCCAGAACTCCATCAATTTCCCAATTTTGGTAAAGGACTCTTGTTATTATCAAGTCAGTAGTTTGACTGCTTGATGTCCAGAAGTAAAGAAGATTTTTGAAAATTGCATAAATTTTGATGGCTTTGGCCCCATCTCTAAGGCCCCAGGGGGGCAGGGTCCATGGAATTCATAATTTTTGTCCCCCTTTTGCTCAAAGACGCACTATCCCAAATTTGGTTGAAATTGGTTCAGCGGTTTAAAAGAAGAAGCTAAAAATATTAAAAAGTATACGAATGACAAATGACGCACGCCGATAGAAAAAAACACAGTTCTCGTCTATTTCTTCATGGTTGTTCTACCTAGTATACCAAAGAAAAGACAAACAGGGTGTACAATGTACCCATTTACGGTTTTACGCAATGAGCTTAATTAATAGAGATTTTGTATAAGCCATTTTTGTTCCTGGTGTAATATTGACTTAGAAGTGTTTGCTCTCCGGAATATCTTTATTCTAGAAATAAAATATAATTTACTTATGATGCTGAAGTACCAACCAGAGCAGGAAATGGCCAAGAAAAAATTAATGGAAGTAAAACAGATATAAAACTCTATCTTATTTTCAGAAAACAGATTGATTTCATTTTCACGACTATAACTGAAATTAGCATTATTGTATCAAACTATTTCGATAACAAATTTATTTACAACCAATTGTAATGAACATTTCATTGCGTGTTCAGTGGAATGAGCATTTGAGATGAATAATCATGCAAAGTCAATACTGCAGTAACCTCACGATAGCTCAGTCGGTAGGCGTTGGCAAGAACCTTAAAGCACTGCTCAATGGTCCTAAGTCCCGAGTAAAGGTCAAAATTTGAAGCCCTTCACCGGTATGGTGACGTCTCCATATGAGTGAAAAATTCTCGAACGGGAAGTCAAACAAACATACAATCATACTGTAGTTGTTTACTATTTTGTCTCAAATATAAAAAAGAATCAAGAAGGAATTTACCTGGGATCGTTAACTGGAATTCAGAAAAGGAGGAATTTCTGTATCTTGTCAATATACTCAGTTGTATACTGCTGTAATTCAAAGCATCCTTGATTGACAATGTTGCATTTTTAACTTCCATCCAAGGTTGAATACGTCGTGAATCTCCCGTAAACATAACATATGTAGCATGTATAGACGACTTATCATGCTGTTGCCATGAAACTTCAATGTTCCCATTTATAAACTTCTCCTCAATCTTCAGAGACTGTGTTACTGTTCAAAAGAACAAAACAACATAGTTACACAAGTTCCAGTGCTATTGTTAAGAATTCTCTCTCTAATCGGAAAATACGAATTCAGAATATATGCCTTTTCAGGAGGCAATCAAAACAAATACATAGCACATTTTTTAAACAATAAAACACTATTACCTTGAACTTCAACTAAAATTCAGAAAAGGAGGAATTTCTGTATGTGTCAATATACTCAATTGTCTATTGCTGTAATTCAAATCGTCCTTGATGGAGAATTTTGGATTAAAACATACCATGAAATTTTGCATTTTTTTTTCAAATACATGTATAATAGAAACAATTTGAACAGAAAAAAATCGTATCTTCATAAACAGTGTCAACCAGCGACAAACTTAAAAGATAATTTTACAAAGAAATTAAGATGTTGGGGTACAAAGAATGAATATTGTCCACTTTTGATTTTTAAAAATTTGACATAAAAACACATTAGAGCGTCATATTGATAATCCAGCTATTTTCTCATGATTTTCAATTTCACTTAAAACAAGGGTTATAATAATCATGACAACCCACCTTCAAAGACACAAAGCAAACAAAGCACTGATGTAATCCCTATGCTCACAGACGTTTTGGCCATTGTATGGAAAATAGAAAATTTAGCACTTATCTGCATATAACAATATTCTATAATGAATTAATTATTATTATACTGATGAATACAGCAACTTCCGGGATTAAATTTTGGGAGTGATTAGAAGAGTGATGAAAATTCATGTTTCCGTATTGATTTATCAAACAATTTATTCCATATTATATCATATACCAAATCAAAAATTAACTTTTAAGTGTGAGAAAGTAAACATTGATTATCATATGTTATAGATTAAAAATGACAGTTAAATACAACTATCAAGTATGCATGAACAAACAGTATCCCCAGCTTTTATTGTGATACATCAGACAGATTTTATTTGAGTAATTTGCTTTGGTTAGATTACCACTATATCACAGACATGTCCATTTGATTTGTGTTATCAGCTTCTCTATTGTTATTTGATCCATTCTAACTTCATGTATTCTTGAATTTATAATGCAACGTTTCTCACTTAAAATGAATTCATGAATTTAATAAATGTATTACATCTTCCTTTTTTCTCCAATACATATGTAACTATCAAAGTAAATAAATTGTACAGGCTCACATTTTTCAAATAAGATCAAATTTCACTTTCACTTTACTCTCTTATTTACGGAAAATTAGTAAATAAATAAAATTAGGTAATTGGCCCATATAGTCGGAAATAAATGAATTTAGATAATTGACCCATGTTATTATTATAATAGTTAGTTTTATAAGTATATTCAAATATTCAAATAAGGAAATATACGACATTGCCTTAAAAACCTATCTATAAAAATATGGATTAGAGATCCATTTTTGCTGGGAAAAATTAATATCTTATCTTGATGATACATTTTAATCAAAATCACTAGAAGTGTAAATGTAAAATGTGTTAATAATAAACGAACAGTGGTCAATGAAATAAATGGAAATAACGAACAGTATTCAAGCTTAAAAGTCCATTAAGCAATACAAAATAGGAGCAGAGCAAACACGGACCTCTAAAACATCAGAGGTGGGATCAGGTGCCATGGAGGAGTGAGCATCCCCTGCCGACCGGTCACATCCGCCGTGTGCTCCTTGTCATGATCGTGAAATAACGGAAAAATCCGTCGACAATTCAGGGTATAAATAATGGCCTAACAATTAGTATGAAAAACGTCAGTCAGCATTTGACTCAATTGTATTTTTCATAAATTCATTACAGAATACAAATCCTGAACAGGGCTAAAAGGGGACCCCTGGAAACACCAGAGGAGGGATAAAGTCTGTCAGAAGGAGTAAGCATCCCCTGTGAACATTGCGCTCTCTGTATTAATCAGGTGAACGGGTAACCATAGTCAAATTGGTCTAAGAATAG